ACCGGGCAGCTGAAGCAAGGATGGGCATTAAGCGCAGAGAAAGTGCCGACAGTGGGGATGTCAGAACAAGTAGACCAGATCGGAAAATCGACATGCTGTCCGGGGAGGAACCATTCGGGAAGATATATACAAAAAAAGAAAAGTCAAAATAATGACCAAAGATTTTATGTCATTAGCACCTAGTTTAAAATGACAAACCCCACTGTAAACTCCAGAAAAAAATTCCTTTTATTGGAAAGTAGAAAATTTCTATTTAATTGACTGTATTATACACTAGCATTGGATATTATCTTGCAGCCTAACCTTCATAAGATTGCTATGAAATTGCAGTATGTTTGAACTTGCTGGAGGAAGTAACAATTGAGAACGTGTCCATAAGCAGCAATGCTGCCTATTTCCTTTTTGCTTATTTTTAACTTCTATTTGACATTAGTTAATATGCAATATTTAATAAGCATATTTTTAGCTCAATAGCTCCCCTCCCCTTCTTGAGACTTCATGTAATTGTGTACAAAAGTTAAAATATTAAATTGCTATAGTATAAATATCAATAGAATTGGCTACTGAAAATAAACTATGTAGATATAATACAATGGGATATTCCACATTAGTATAGCTAATGTTCTATGACAGTGACTTCTAAATAGATAACTGCCATGAATGCCTGCGATTTAATTTTGCATATAGTTATATATACATTTGTATTTCTTGGGAAAAAGTAGGCTTCAACACAAAGTAGCTAAATCTACTTTGGATTTCCAGAAAAAAACAACATACACTTCTAGTAGTAAAGTTAATACTGCATAGGAATTATATTTTTACATGTATTTCTATTTTTGTTACTCTTTTAACCTGCTCTTTAAGAAGTCAAACAACTTTTCCTTCTTGCCAATTTTTTCTCACATAAAGGATACGTAGCACCTAAAGTTCAGAAACAGCAGTTGACCCTAAATTACTCAAAAGATTATATAATACAGGAGACTGGAGATTTGAACCACCATTTTTATTTTTATCTATTTTTATCCTGTATTTGTTTTAACAAATAATTCAGTGCTTAAACATATCAAACACATCTTCCTATGTTCCCCATAACAACAACCCTGTGAGAATTGGGTGAGAGTGATTGGCCCAAGGTCACCCAGCTGATTTTCATGAACAAGGCAGGATTAGAACTCACTAGACCAAAGTGGTTCTCAAAAAAAGGGGAAGGCAAGGAGGGAGAGAAAGGGGGAGGGAAAGAGAGGGAGGAAGAGGGAGACTCATTCCAGCGTTTATCCGAAATTGGCTCGGCGTTCTGCAGCTGTAAACCAAACATACAGAATTTGGAAGGCTGATTTGATTATTAGAGCACGGAGGTTGCTTAGCCATACATGACCCATTTTCTTTAGCCTCCCATCTTCTCCTGTTATACTACCATAGCTGTTCTTACTTTTGATATTTGACCAACTACCTTTCCTGCTTTTTTTTTTTTTTTAGTGCAACAAACAGCTCCAGGCTTGGGAAAGGAGAGTTAGGAGAATAAGCTACATTTGCTCATTCGCGGACCTGCAGTAAGAGAAAACCTGCGGACAAAGTGTCAATTAACCCAGGTTCCGTCGCTGGAAAAGAGCACGCGAAATTATAGCTCTCCTCCCCTCAACCATGCCTCTCTCCCGCTGCCCTGCAACCCCACGGGACTGGTGGCATGTCTTCCTCCACCTTCTAAGTAGTATAACCCCCCCTCCCCAAGAAGGAAAAGAAAGAGCACCTCCCGCCTACTCACCTGATAGGCAACCTCAGCGAAGTCAACACCGACCCGGAAGTGTCTCTGCATAAACTGGAAGCGATCCTCGTCGCTAGAAGGAAAATATTTATAGCCCCCGAGTGGAAAGTTAATCTCGAGGGGGAGGGATTTAAAGGACGCGGATCCCTTTGGCTGATGTTGATGATGATAGAAGGAAGAAGTGTGTGTTGCTAATACTTCGATCCTGTGGGTTCGTCCAGACTAGAGAATGCCAAAATTTGAGCCCAATTCCAGTTCTCACAACTGTTTTGGCAAGGGATCGTAGTATTTGAAGGAAGCCCTCTTCCTGTCTTCTCCTGGATCAGAATTCCATGCTCATGGTCACCTCCCGTGACCACAATATTGCCAGGCATTCTATATGAGACCACCCGTGAAAACCATTCAGAAATCTTTCTCAACCTTAGCCGCTTGAAGATGTATGGACTTCATCTTCCAGAATTCCTCGCGAGCAAGCTAAGGGGGAGGATTCTGGGAGATAGTCCATGCATTTTAGAGTTGCCGAAATTGAGAGATTCAGAAGCTTCAATTGGTTCATAAGATAGCAGAACAGCAGGTAATTATGGGGTTTGCCCTGATACACCTGTTAAGATCTAGGTCAGTGATGGTGAACCTTTTAGAGACTGAATGCCCAAATTGCAAGCCAAAACCCACTTTTGCATCTTCGAGTGCCCATTGGGTGGGCATGGCCCATAGGGTAGGCATGGCTACGGTGGTAACAGACGACTGGATGGGACTCAAAAGTTCAATCAACTCCAACTTTGCAAGATTTTTTTTCCCGCGAGAAGTTGAAATTGACTGAACCTTTTTTTTTTTTTTGCACATGGTGGTGGAGGCCTAAAGCGAAAAGGTTTTATAAAACCCAGCTGAAGGCCTAGGACTAGGGTGACGGCACGTGTGCCCAGAGAGCACTCTGAGTGCCACCTCTGGCACCCATGTCATAGGTTCACCACCATTGATCTAGGTCTTCTCCCATGCATTAGGCGTCAGTTGAGAGGAGTCCCACTTGAGAACCTTTTGTTGCGTTCTCGGTTGCCTTTTTATATACATTGTTTGTTGTATGGTTTTGTTTTTTTATTGTGTTTGTGCTGTATGCTTTTCGGAGTCATACATTTTGCACTGGGCAGCCTTAGTGTAAATCTTTAATAAATAAATGTTGCTATATGTAGTTATCACTACAGCAACTCTTGAACACATCATTTTCAATCTGTTGCTTCCATTGAAGGCCATGTGCTTTTTAGAGTGCCAAAAAAGCATTTAAGTAAACAAGAATATTGTATGTGTACAAAGTGAGATTCTACGAGGGCTGTGTGTAATTGCTCTTTGAGTGCTTCCTAATGTTTAATATAAGCCTATCTTCCTGAATTCTACTGTATTGTTTCTTGTCAAAGCTAGACAGATCCTTTATCCTCCCTGCTGAGAGAGAGAGAGAGAGAGAGAGAGAGAGAGAGAGAGAGAGAGAGAGAGAGAGAGAGAGAGAGAGAGAGAGAGAGAGATTTCAACATTTACATAGCTCACGTTTATGCTTTTTAGGCACATTGAATGGACTTAAACCTAGGTGACATTTCCCAGGGATCATTTTGAGATAATAGAAACAACAACAGATCAAAACCCATCCTGCTCCAAAGATCTATAGCTATGGAGAAAAAGTTCCTTTTATTTACATTCCTTTTTTCTTGGTATCTGCAGTCCCCCAGAGAAACTCTACTTGAGCCAAAGAACTCAGTTCCTTATATTCAAAACCAAATGTTTTATTTATTACAGATATTCCTTGTTACCCATCTGACATTTAAAGTAACTAGCAATAAAATAAAAGAATACAATCAAATGCAAAACATAATCAGTAACTAGTTGTTTGGAATTCTCCATTAACTCCCTAGCGGCCTAGCCTTACTCACTCCCTAGCCTTAAAAACAGTACTTATCACCACTTCTACATTCGGAATATTGTGTGCTCCATACTTCATATATTTGCTAGAAGGTATTGATGCTATGGCTTTTTGCACCTTGTTTTTTAGTTGTGGCAGATGCTATGGGTACTTTATTACAGGACCTATATGAAAATGATTTATCTCCAGCTTTGCCTCATTATTGAAACAACTTAAGAGCCTCTCTTAAGAAAGCTTGCATGTCTTTGGAAACTTTCTTAGCAGCTACAGAGGTGCTAGTGATAACCTGTCCCAGCGTTCTCCATTATTGAAACCAATCTGGCAATTTATGTAGGTTGTGAATGAAGACAGAAAACAGTACTTATCAAAAATCTATTTTTAAAAGCTGAGGAACATTGTAAATTACAAAACTGTACTTATATAGGAAACTACCTATTAAAGTAGAGTATTAAACAATGTATATTCTAATTACTGGTGCTCTTTGGATTTTTGACAAATTCATATTTGAAGTACCAGAGATTGATATGAAAAATTTAGCATGAAAAGTATATGTTTTATGACTAAGCTATAGCCCTTATAATCCAAAAGTCTTGGATTAAGATGCTGATTATGCTTATTTAAACTAGATATGTTCCTAATTTTTTGAAGCCAGAAAAACGCTTTAAGGTTCATTGTTATGTGTCTGCAGCTTCTTAAACCAAACATTTCTTTTTCTGAGATTGTACTTACAGAAGAAAAGGACAGCTAAGTGATTACAGAAAAAGATGTATTGCATCTTTTTGCCTTCAGATAGAAGGGTTCGACAGCCTTACTACCGTACATATCCTCTGAAATGCATTTTTCACTTTGCTCCTCTTTGACCACAAGAGGGCACATCTGTACAGTAATGAAACCCAAAAATCATTAGAGATTAGACTTTATGATGTATATGAATCTAGATGGGTATAAATATAATTTTGTAACTCAAGAAGAGCAAGGCACTGTGAAAGATTATAGTCTTTTCCAATAGATCAATTAGACCATGTAATTATCATATGCTTCATAATGAGAAGATAATGGGAATTGTGGACCTATATGCCTAGAAGGCAGCTAGTGGAAACAGTTTGAGTTATTTCGAAATCCACGAAGAGGCAACATTGGTTCATCTCAAAGTTCTCTATAAGCCAATCACATGCGTGTGAAATGAGAACATTAGTTGAATCCCTTACTCTGCATTCCAAGCTGTTCTTTTTTGGAAGGGCATTTGGAAGGATAATCCTAGCAGGGTTAGGATTATCCTACGGTTAGGATTATCCTACAAACCAACATATGAATGATCAGCAAACACTGGAATCAGTATGCATCTTTCCTTTTATTATTATACCTATAATATAAAGATAAAAAAACACATTTCTGTATAGTTTTTTTTAGTTTGGTGACTTTTCATTACACTGACTTTTCAACCAAACTAATATGATTTTGCCTAAAGAGGTCCTGCAGAAATCAAGACCAATTTCCTCTATAGACACTTTCTCAGAAGAGCAAAATTGCACTGGTATCAGTTGTATAGAATGATCTACAGCAGTGTTTCCCAAACTTGACAATTTTAAGGCATGTGGACTTCAACTCCCAGAATTCCACAGCCAGCGTTGCTGGCTGTGGAATTCTGAGAGTTGAAGTCCTCATGCCTTAAAATTGTCAAGTTTGGGAAACACTGATCTACAGAAAGGAAGAAGGCTGAATAGGGATATAGAGGAGCCAAACACGGCTTTGTGATCATCTATACAAATCAATAGCACTCATTTTTGCTAATACAGTCAATGCATTTTTCAACTTAATTGGAACCATGCTGGAGTATTTGAATAACAAAGGCAGGTACCTCTAAGATGGCTCAGCAGTTAAAGACACTGAGTTTTGTCAGCTGAAAAGCTCACTGCCCGGATTCAAGACCCAAATGTCACACAACAGGATTAGCTCCTATTACATGCCGCAGCTCCTGCCCATCTAGCCATTCAAAAGCATGCAAATGCAGATAGATAAATAGGTACCACTTTGGTGGGAAGGTAACAGCATTCTGTGCACTTTGGCGTATAGTCATGCCACCACATGACCATGGAAATGTCTTTGGACCATGCTGGCTCCCTCGGCTAAGAAACAAATATGAGCACCACCCCTAGAGTCTGACATGACTGGACAGTAGAAACCTTTATCTTTATCTTTACTCTAAGATAATATGCTGAATTTTTGCCAATAATTACAAATCTTATTCAGTTATTACCCAATAGAAGTATTACTTCCATGATTTTGCGCATAGCCTGATGTATCTTTTTCTAAAAACTAGGCCTTTTCTCTCATATAGTTCCAATTCTATTTGGACATTGGGGCATCTATTAAAAAAAACAGAGTGAACTTTAACTCAGTAAACCAATACAAGTACAAAGCTGGAATCGATGATCCAAAAAGTTATACCAAGAAAGGAGTGTCTCCGTCACACTGGCATCAAGTGACTGTACTTCATGGCAGAGGGGTAATATTTAAGATATATCTTTGTAGCTATCTCAAGTGTATTGCCAATAGGTTTTGATGGATACTGTTTTTCACTGTAGATAAATCTCTTTTCTACTTTGATGACAGCTTGGTTAAATTGATCCTGGTGAAAAGGTGTTCCAGAATTGAGGCATTTCACCAAAGTGATAATGAAAAACTTCCAACGCATTCTGTAATAGTCTAGCATCAGCCCTGCTAGTTGTTTGTTGGCATAGTCCAAAATGTTGCCGTCAGGTCCCCAAAGAGTTAATTGGTTGCGTGCATTGAAGTCATACAACTGTTCCTCCTTTTTGCTGGTGGCCATTTTGTGGGCAGCTTCCAGCCATCCTCCCAGCAAAAAACGTCTGTCACTGGAGAGAAGAGTGTCCAGTTCAGGAAGAAGGTCATAGATTAGAACACCACCAGTAACCAGGAGTTGTGACAGCACACGTTTCTGAAAAGCCTGTTTGATTTCCAAGTAGTAATCACTCACTAGCTGTTGCAGAACCTGACGAACAACATCCACAAGGTCATAGCAGAAGGTGCTGCTGTTGCCCAGTTCACCAGAAGTATTTTGAAACAGCTGCCAGGCTTCATAGACATCACTTTTATTGTACCAGACCTCTGTGTTCATCCGAAAAGAAGGACGGTGGACAAGGGGGCTGTGGTTGTGATTTACACAAGGCCCTGAACAATTATAGACACTCTGGAATAGCAATTGCCAGGCCTTTATCACTTGCATGTTCTTGACACCATAGCGCTCTGTACTGTATGTGGCAACCCACTGTTGTAGATTTATTGGCTCCTTGAGCCAACCTAAATCTGTTATGAGTTCATATATCACATCATTTTGTTCAATACCTTCAGGGGTGAGGCCTATGCCAATCATAGTAGAGTTGAGAAAATGTCTGGCTTCAAAGGGGCCTTGGTTAATGCTCTCCACCATGCCAAAAAGGCCATGGTTCCCACCAAAGTTGTGAAGCATGCACCAGATAAAAGGCTGCCCATAGAAGGACTCAGTCCAGAGGTAGACAGGCTTAGATTCAGCAAAGAGGTCCAGCACCAGCATCCTGCCTATAGGTACACCTCGAAGAAGGGCTTTAACTTGAGCAGGTTGCCAGAAGTCTCTCTGGTGTTGGAAAAGCCAACCTTGCATCAGCCATATGGCATGGGAGTCAACTATGAGGACAGGCACAATCAAAGAAAGGAAAAATACAAATTCAGAACCATTACTTTTATTCTGCAGTCTATTTCTTATTTATTTCTTGATAATAATAATATAGGTTCAGTTTCTTTCTGTTTACAAGTGTGTAATACTGTTAGCATACTGTATGCTTTTCATTTATTTACCTAAAATTATTTATATTTTCTGCCCTGGATTTCTCTTGGAAGAAAACATTTCTGGTTCTAAGTTTTTTGTTACAGATCCGGCAATCACAGCAATAAAATTAATCATAACCTGAAAACCTATAGGTATAAATCTATTAGGTGTAAACAAAATATGCAAGTTAGTGTGGTGCAATGGATGGATTGAAGCTAATGAAACCTTGATTGAAATCTCTATTCAGCCAGATTACTGGATGACCTTGGACAAATCATATCTCTTTGTTAACTTTCTGAGATAGATATTAAAAAGAATAAAAATATGAAATTCAATGACTACCCTAAATTCCATGATAGAAGAACAGGACTTTAAATTTATATTTTAAAAAAGTATCCTAAATAAACTCTAAATTCCTTTGATCAGAGTTGGTATGTTTTTTCATGCTATACTTCATTTCTGACTCAAAGTCATGCAGAGTAATATCTCTGAGCAATATGTGAACATGTGAAGCTATCTTATTCTAAGGCAACAAAGTAGCAATTCTATATATACATAATTTAAAGAAAAGTTCATAAAATCTCAGCAACAAGAAACAGAATAATGTCCACTTTTGAATAAATAATTGTAAATCCCTACATATGATTCATATTATAGATAGCGGGACAAAAACATTCACATGATGTATGTGTTTATTTGCCATTCAGCAAGGAAAGGACCATCTTACCCCACATGGAAATTACAGAAAAGTTGCAATTAATCACCAAGGAAGGTATATCTGCTGCTAATGTGAGACAGGACCTTCTTTATAGCAGCACCCCAGGAATGGAAAAAGCTTATAACTTTTAAGGAAACTGTTTTTATTTCATCAGATTTTTAATAGTTTATTTGCAAACTTGGTTGGTAACTGCTTTAATGATTGGGATATTTCTTCTTATTATGAACTGCAAGTGAGCTCCTTATGGGAGAAAAGGTTATTTATAAATGTTTAAGTACATTATTAAAAAAAACCTCTGACTTTCCACAGCTTTTATGGATATTAATTCAGCATCTGAAATTTTGAAAAGGCTCTACTATTATCCTTGCAATATAAATTCCCTTTTTATGATTCTGTAATCCCATAATTTGGTGGAGTTGGGGCAACTGGATGAAGCTGAGCGCTCTTCCTGACGCCATGCAGAAGTCACAGCAGATATTTTTTCTTTGCACCCTAGGAGAGAAACATCTGCCACTACCTAGGATTGAACTCTCAACCTTCTGAGTGGGAGGCGAAAGTGCCACTCTTACTATTATTTTTGCAATACATATGGCTAAATGAGCTAAAGATAATGTGTTGAAGGGCTAAAGATGAGCAGAGATAAAGAAAAAAAATAGGACTAAAGATGAGAAGAGATAAATAGGGAGGAAAAAGAGGGAGAAAAAGAGGCTCTGTCACTTCATACCTCCATTCATGGAGCGGAAGACAGCGGCGCTGACCTTGGAGAGGTAGGTGGTATTCGATGAAAGTGGGTGCATCTCATTGAAGGTGTCAGCACTGTATACATGATCTGTACCAAATTCTTTGATAAGCTCCTTTAAAAAGAGGGTCCCTATAACCTGAAACATGGGGTCTTCAGGTGATAAGAGGTAAGCACATGAATAGGTGCAATCAAAATGGCTCCAGTTCCCCAGTTGTGTGGCATTGACCTGTGGAAATACCCTAACATGGAAAAAAAAATCATTCTGAAGCAGATTACAAAGTCAACTCTAAATTCATTGGGTGTGTGCTAAGTACTATGAGTTTCTACAGGAAGATTTAGACTCAAGCAAAGAGAATACTCAATGATTATTATGGCAGGAATCCAGAATATTAAAAAAAATTCAAAGCAAGAAATACATTCAAGATCACATGTCCCTCTTGTGTCTTCTCCATTGACCTTTGGACCCAGATGTTAAGAGGTCTGATTAATAATAGAAAATATATGCTGCTTGGGTTCAAAGCACTTCTCAGAATTATTACTTAAACACATTCTGAATTTTGCTCCAAGGTGTTTTGTCTTATTTTAGCACTGGCCTTCACATGAATACTCCCCAAAATCCAACATCCTCATCCCCTTGGAGAAAGACCAGTGTAACCACTGCTTGGTGGATAAGTACATCCTTTCCATAAAAAAAAGCCCTAAGTTTCCTTTCCAGGAAGTCTGAAAATCTTGGGGTCTGCTGCCAGTGAGTTTAGGCCAGGCTTTCCAAATGTATGCCTTCCAGCTTTATAAGGCCAATGTCCACACTGGCTAGGGACTGATGTAATTGTTAAAAAAAAAGACCATAGATCAGCATTTGTTAACTTTGGCAACTTTAAAAAGTATGGACTTGCAAAATTCTGGAGCTGAAGTCCATACATCTTAAAATTGCCAAGGTTGAGAAGCACTGATGTTGACAACACTTGGTCAGATGGAAAACAGTCTATCCTGGTATGAGGCAGTTTCTTATATGCTCAACTCAACTCATTTTGTTCATTTACCTTAGAATGCCTCGAGGGATATGCCCAGAGAAGGCAGGAAGCACTGTCAACATACCCAGAGACCTCATTCTCTCTAGAATTCTGTACTGGGAAAGTAAAAGAGTCAGGATGGAGCAATGAAGCAAAGCCACAGAATAATCCACACTGTGCCCCACAACATCCATAAAATTGGTCCAGAAAAAGGCCCATTTCTGGAAAGAGCTGTGCATTCTGTGGGCCAATATGATATGAGATTTAAGACCTAATTTTCTGATAATTCCTGTTTTACTCAGAATTGTAGTGTGTAATAAAGGTGAGATACAAATAAATAAACAAACAAAATAAATGAAAGAGAGCTAAAAGACTATTTAATTCACTCTATTCTTCATTTCCAGAATTTTCAATCTTGGCCTGCAATTCATTATAAAAGCTCCCATAACATCCTCAAAAAAGAGAAATAAACTGCAAATAACACTGATTTATTAAATCAGCTGATAAACCTAGCATGCTGGTTGGGAACACAGTTTTGATCAATTGTGATGCTTGATCATCAGAGACAAGTCATTATTTTCTATAATAACTGTGATGATACAATGCAAGACTTAATCCCCATGTAAGCCAATGTGAGTTTAGAGGAGAAAGAGTACAAGTGCTATATTATAAGTATCAAAAATGCTCATGAATCTAATGGGGGTTTGTCAGAGGTTTTCACAATAGAAAAAGGGACTAGACAGGGATGTCCATTGTCACCATTGCTGTTTGTTTTAACTTTGGAAATATTGCTGATTAAAATTCGAGAATCACAGCAAATAAAAGGAATAGAAGTCAATAAAAAAGAATATAAATTAAGAGCTTTTGCAGATGATTTGGTGGTTACCTTATCACAACCTATTCATTCTGTAGTAGAGTTACTACAATTGATACATCAATATGGACGGGTTTCAGGTTTTAAAATTAACAACAATAAGACTAAAATATGATCCAAAAATATGACTAATCTTGATAAGCAGACCTTGGTTAATCTGACAGATTTCGAGGTTGTTGATAAGGTAAAATATTTGGGGGTTATTTTATCTGTCTCTAATGCAAAACTGTATAAAAATAATTATGAAAAGCTGTGGGTCAAGACACAAAGAGAATTGAAAAATAGGGAGAAGTTGCAATTATCCCTTTTGGGAAGAATTGCGGCGATTAAAATGAATGTTCTGCCAAAGTTTCTTTTTTTATTTCAAATGATACCTATTTTAAAGAATGAGGTTAACTTAAATGAATGGCAGAAAGGTATCAACAAATTTATCTGGGCAGGGAAAAAACCAAGAGTAACACTTAAAATTATGCAAGATACTCGTGAGAGAGGTGGACTCAAGGTACCGAACTTGAAATTGTATTATGATGCTGTGGTTTTAACATTAATTAGTGATTGGATTAACTTAACAAATGTAGAAATACTCCTCTTGGAGGGGTGGGATTTACTTTTTGGATGGCATGCCTATTTAATTTTTAATAAAAAGGTTGACAGGGTTTTTAAATCTCATATTATAAGGATTTCTTTACTTCGGGTCTGGAGGAAATATTATAGAACTGATTCTAAAATTCCATTATAGGCCATACCATGGCATGCGATAGAGGGGATAAGGAGAGGAGTTAAGATGGATAGTGTTTCTTATGCACAATTACTTAGATGGGATGGTAAAAATTGGCAGTTAAAACCTTTGGAAGATTTAGCACAAGAAAATATTATATATTCATGGTTTCAGTACAGACAAATTGTGGATAGATGGAAGGTAGATTGTAATGTGGGTTTGCTTAGAGAAGATGAGAATTTTTTTAAACAAGTAAAAGATCAAAGACGAACTCACATTAAGAGAATTTATGGGGTGTTAGTAGAATTGGACTCAGAAGCAGAATTAGTTAAAGAATGTATGATTAAATGGGCACAAAATTTTGGTGAACCAGTTTTATTAGATACTTGGGAAACTATTTGGGTGAGAAATGTTAAATTTACACAAGCTCAGAATTTAAGGGAGAATTTTTACAAAATGTTTTACAGATGGCACCTTGATCCACAAAAAATGTCTCGTATGTATCCTGACTTACAGCCTAAATGTTGGAGATGTGGATGTCTGGATGCTACTTATTATCATATTTGGTGGTCGTGTAAAAATATAAAAGCTTTTTGGATTAAGATATGGTGGAATATCCAAAGAATTTTTAGAAGGAGGGTAAAATTTACCCCACAATTTTTTTTGTTAGGTATTGTTATTGATTGTGATATTAAGGAGATTACATTGATGTTAAATTTAATTACAGCCGCAAGGTTGTTAGTAGGGCAATGTTGGAAGAAGGAATCTTTGCCTACTCTGCAAGAGTGGTTTCTCAAAGTTTCTTACTTAGTGGAAATGGCAAAGATTTCGGCTTTCTTGAAGGATCAATCGCAAGAGAAGTATGTTGCGGTATGGAAAAAATGGATAGATTTTATACAACATAAGTTGGATATAAAAAAATATTATTTAGTTTTTTAATAATTTATACTTTTTCTCTTCCTCTATTCTTTTCCTTGTTAAACATTTATTTTTTGTTTTTTTTATATATATATATACTATTGTTAATTATTTTATAATTTTTCTAATTAATGTATTTAGATTTTTAACTAATGCTAGATTCATTTATGGTTTATATTTTTTTTTAAGATTTTTTGGTTAAATTTTAATTAAGCCTATATTCAGCTCTGGGAAGATCGGGGGTGGGAATGGGAGGGTTGGGGAGGTGGGGGGGAAGATTGTTTTGTTTTGGTTTTTGAAAAATTTTAAAAATTTAATAAAAATTATCTTTGGAAAAAAAATGCTCATGAATCTATTTCACAAACTATAAGATTGATTACACTCAGTTTACCAGGATAATATTACTGCTAATTTTAGTATCTTTAATAAAAAGAATGGACATCCTTGTGCCTTTTAAAATAACACTAGGAAGGGCTCTTGCCAGACAAATGCAGGATTGTAATTTTCAGAAAGTCTAGGTGCTGTGCACCACCACATTTTCCCCTGCATTATATCACTATGAACATCTCCTCTAATCTTTTCCTGAAACATAAGACTAAAAAACACAGGGTTAAATTACCTGATTCATTTATTACTTTAAAACTCGACGCGGCAGATATAAAACTAAGCTCAAATTTATCTACTATAGTTTACCACAAAAGGTATGAAGGAAAATATGACAGGAAGACAGAAGGCACCTACTGCCAAAAACCAAAACTATACTTTCCATATCAGCCAGACTAAGTACCTGCAAATTTAGCTTTTTCTGATGCCAGGAGAAGGGCAACGGTCCCGCCCAAGTGTGCAAATTCCCCATCCGGTTCCAAGCTAAGAAAGCAGGGCCAGTGAAGTACTCATCGATTTCTGATTGCTTTAGACCCAGTGACAAATACACCTATAAAAACAATAGTAGAGCTTAATAGTTGCTCTGGAGAAGATCCTGGGTTTAAATATTGTTAAAGCCACAATAATATGCTTAATAACACATACTCGTTGCCATATGGCTTCCTGCCCAGTGAATGCCAGTGCCATGTTAATTCCATGGAGAGCCATCCAGTCAATCTCCTGTTCCCAGCGGTCCCAGTTCCACCACACAAAGGAATAGCTGTAAGTGCAGACATTTTGATAGAACCGGAACCTAAGGAGAAAAATAAAATAAATGCATAAACAATAAATTCAATGTACTTAATGAAATTATTCTTCATACATTTTTAATCTTTAATTATAAAATTTCTATTCTATGTATCACACTTGCATGACTGTCATCATAATAACAATAGCACTTAGACATATATACCGCTTCACAATGTTTTACAGCCGTCTCTAAGCGGTTTACAGAATCAGCATATTGCCCCCAACAATTTGGGTACTCATTTACCGACCTCAGAAGGATGGAAGGCTCAGTCAACTTTGAGCCGGTGAGAACTGAACTGCTAGCAGTCAGCAGAATTAGCCTGCAATCTGCATTCTAACCATTGCGCCACCACGGAATAATAAAATTCTCTCTTCTATCACATTAAAAATTATAATTTGGGAAGAATTGACTACATAATAATTGACTAAATAATACCTAGCCAATCTTGATTGTGAAAAGTTTTCATAGCATCAAACATGGTTAGTATTTTGGCTTGAACTCACCAGGAAATCACAGGATTCTGAGCTACACTGAGTTGTTTGGGGACAAAAACCTTGGAAGAATACATTGACCAACCATTTATGTAGTTTTGGCAACAAAAAAAAAAATACACATGCATATAATCAAGAGGAGTCAAAATGAACTGACTCTTGGGAAAGTCAATGTGTAGCTGGATCATATGAACCCTGGGGCTTCAGGGCTGCCAATGATGGGAAAGGATGACTCAATGGATGGAAATCAGCCTGTACTCTAGCCACATTTGATTTGCATGGTTTGGTAAGCCTAGCATTATCCGTGACAGTCTCTCTCAGCCAGCCAATTAGGGGCATCATGAACGAGGAGTGAACTGTTAGCTATTTCATGTTTTACAGGTAATCCTCGACTTACAACAGTTCATTTAATGACTGTTGGAAGTTACAATGGCACTGAAAAAAGTGACATGACCATTTTTCACTGACTGTTGCAGCATCCTCATGGTCATGTGATTTACATTCAGATGCTTGACAATTAGTTCATATTTATGACCACTGCAGTGTCCCAAGGTCATGTGACCATCTTTTATGATCTTCTGAAAGCAGATTGGCAGATGGGCAAGTCAGATTCACTTAACAATCTTGCTACGAATTTAACAACTGCAATGATTCACTTAACAAATTTTTCAAGAACATTCATAAAATGGGACAAAACTCAAACAAAATTTTCACTTAGCAACATAAATTATGAGTTCAATTGTGATCTTAAGTCCTCATAAGTCAAGGACTATCTGCATTATACTTTGATCATCATAAAATGGAGGGCACCTTGAGATCTCTGAAATTAGTAAAGGAGAGTTAAGTGGCAATTTAACACATTCACACAAAGCTTATCTCATGGACTCCTATCTGGCTCGGGACCGTTCACGCTTTGGTCACTTCCAATTGGATTACTGCAACATGCTCTACATAGGGCTGCCCTTGAAGACCACCCTAAGTTACAACCGGTGCAACTTGTTGCAGCTCTCACAACACTGGGCATATCTCGGTTTCCTCATGGGCTATACTGGCTACCAGTTTCTTTCGGAGATAATTCATGGTGCTACTCACTACCTTTACAGCCAGGCTATTAGCAAGACCACCCCTCCCTAAGGATATTTGCCCATTCCACTAGATTAGATAAAGGGAGCGCTCTCTAAGTCCTTTCTCTTGAATGCTGCCACCCAGTAGACCTAGGAGCCATGGCTTTTCCATAGTAAAATAAAAATGATGATAGTCCTCAACTTACAGCCACAAGTGACTCCCAAATTTCCACTGCTAAGCAAAGCAGTTGTTAAGTGACTTCAGCCCCATTTTATGACCTTTTTTTGCCAGAGTTAAGCAAATCACTTCAGTTGTTAAGTGAATCATGTGGTGGTTAAGTGAATTTGGCTTTCCCCATTTACTTTGCTTGTCAGAAAGTAGCTGGAAAGGTTACAAGTGATGATCATATAACCTGGGGACAATGCCCAAATTTGGGTCACATGACTACGGGGATGCTGCAACAGTCATAAGTGTAAAAACTGGTCAAAAGTCACTTTTTTCAGTGCCATTGTACCTTTGAATGGTCATAAATGAATGGCTGTAATTGAGGACTACCTGTATCATTAAGTTCATTGGGAGATAACATTTCATACTGTACTTGAAAAATTATTTCAGCTCACTCTCAACTGGAAAAGGGCTTAACTCAGGGCTGTCAAACTGCCAGCCCGCAGGTGGATGGGTCACGCCAAAACCGTGCCCACCCCATTGCCGGCAATGGGAAAAAAGTCACGATACATTGCAATATGTCAAGTGATGTCGCAAGTTTACCCTAACTGAATTACATACATACATACGAGTGGTCATTAATTGTGTGTGCTAAGGTAGTGCCTTCTATACTACAGGTAGTCCTCGATTTATGACAATTGAGCTCAAAATTTCTATTGCTAAGCAAGATAATTGTTAAATGAATTTTGCCCTATTTTATGACCTTTCTTGCCACAGTTAGTTGAATCACTGCAGTTATTAAGTTAGTAACAAGGTTGTTAAGTGAATCTGCCTTCTCCAATGATTTTGCTTATCAGGTTGCAAAAGATGGTGACATAATCTTGGAACACTGCAACAGTCAGAAATACATGCCAGTTGCCAAGCGTCCAAATTTTAATCACATGATCGTGGAGCAGTCAAAAGGGTGGAAAACAGTCATTACATCACTTTTTTCAGTGTTGTTGTAACTTCGGAACAGTCACTAAATATAGGGTTTGTAAGTCAAGCACTATGTAAGTCAAGGACTACCTGTACAGGCTTGAGCCTTGAAGAGAAAAACTTTGCCTTAAACAACTATTGGGCAATAAAGCTGGGACAGACACAACTTTGATGTCAAACATTCTGCGAATTTCATTTCAGCATCTAATGATTCAGGCTCAAAAGTTTCGGTCAATTGGCAGATTGATGAATTTATCTGAAGCGGAACTCGGCTTTCCGGGCCCGCCTTTAAAGACGCCTTCCCATATTTTCAAGAGGAAGCCGGATATAACTCCTGCTTCGCATATAGAGGTTAGGGGATCCTTTGCCTTCCTTCTCTTCCAATGTCGATTCACCTGTTGGGGCTGGTAACGATAATCTCTGCGGAGACAGGGGGCAAACTCTCCGGTAGTCGGAGCTGCGTCCCAGACCAGGACACGTGGCAGCCGCAGAAGTCCTTCAAGTAATGGTAGATTCCCGAGGCGGCGGCTACTCCGCTAGAACCAGAGACATTTATCGTGCCTGGCGCCTCCGAGCTCAGCCGGTAGGTGTCAAGACCGTCAGGTTCGGCCAAAGACCGGTTCACGGATACATCGAAGGCAGAAGCTGCCTTCGAGCCCAGAAGCCGCTTCAAGAGTTCCTGCACCGCTGTTGCCTGACGAGCTTCTGCCGCCTCCGGCTGCAAACGAGCAATCGCCTCCCATTGCCACAAAGGCCGGGAATTAGCAGCGGACGATATAGCCTCTACGGCCGACCAAAGCAACAGCAACCGCAGGTGAGCCATAGAAAGGGACTCTGACCGGAAGCTACAATGCAGAGAAGTTCCGGGGTACGATATCTCTCTTTCTCTCGTGCGTGCGCGCCACGCCTCTACGAGGATCACGGGGACGCTGCTGACTGGGAAAATCCCAGCCCTCTTTGGTTCGCGCGCGTTCTGCAATTCTCTCTGGTTAAACCCGATTCTGGGATGTATTACGTGGAAGTAGAGAGAGGAGAGCACAATTTTCAATGGGAGCCATAGAAACGTAAAATCAAAAGGTATCCCAAAGTTAATTTAATTCTGCCCGCTACAGAAGGACAGAAAAGCCGATTAAACCATCCACGAGAAGTGGCTCTAGCCTGTTTTTTAAAAACTTCCTAAAATCGAAAATACGAAGTCTGAATTTAAATCAAGTTCTTGCTTCTGAATAACCAGTCTCGCTATCACATAGGCATCTAAGAATAAAGTATTATATAACCTATGTTTATTCAATATTTATACCCGGACGGTAGTTTGCTTGTTAAAGCATGGGATTATTGTTGGGGGTTACTCCATTATTGTACCTACCTTTACCTTACCTGAATCCCTCATTCCCACCCCTTCCCATACCCGTACTGACCCTATCCTTTCCCTACCGGCATAAAATTTAATAAAATATTTATTTTAAAAAAACTGTTTATAAATCAAGAGAATGACTCCTAAATATTCTTAGAATTATTTTTCTTCAGTCATGAAAAATCTTGACAAAATGAGATGGTACATTAAGATGGCAAGTTTCGCACAAGCTCAGTGTTCCACTTACCCCACTTCTCCCTTTTTTTCCTTCTGATTATTTTATTAGACAACTCCATAGCAATTTTTGCTTGAGACCTAAGCAAATATTCTGAAATTGCTGAAAGATGATGAAAAGATACATTCATAGAAAAGATTCCATTCCACAAGATGAAAAAGCTGATATGAACAACTCACAAGAATGCTTTGCCCTATACCACTTTCTGGTTGCATTGGGATGTATCTCTAGTAGTCTTTTCACCACCCAGTTATTTGAGTTCCTTTTCTCTCCCCATGGGTTAACTATTGTAGAATTTTAAGCTCCAGGGTCATGCAATGATAACAAAAGAACTAAAAAAGCTATTTATAAAAATAACAATACTGTAGAACATGTGAGAGAACTGTTCTTGTGAAGAGGCTGTTTCAACTGATAACTGGTTGTTCCATGAAGAGCTCAGGGTCATCCCTCTCCTTTAGGGTCAGGTGCTGCTAAATGTTTTTCAAACGTAAGAAGTGAGAAACATCAAACAAGCATCTGAATAATCCATAGCACCACCTGTTTCTAGTAATGGCAGTAGGTTCGGTGGTAAAAATTGCTTGACTGTGAAGCTTTAGATGTTGTTACTTCTGGTCTTTAGGAATTAATCTTAGTGTTATGTCTTTATCATGTACTCATGCACATAGGTATTGTTACATTCCATGTGCAAGGAACATAATGTTCTATATCACTCAACTAAAACAGTCTCCACCTATGGATATTCTTAGTGTAGAACATACTATAACCTATTGGTGTTCAATTTAAAACAAAAAATGAACACTTTAATCACAAGTTCTATTTTTATCAAAAAAGAAAGATTCATTTCTAATTCTATTTCAGATACACTTTAAAAACTCTATGTGGATAACACCATATAGGGTTTTTTAAAGCTTAAAGGGGGTAAACTACCAAAACAGACAAACTAACATCTCCAGTAATTAAGGACATAATTATTAGTGTGAAAGTATACATAATAATCGTAAACACCTCATCTAAGCAGATAACAGAATCATGTTTTCTTCATATAAATGCAAATAATTCTAAGGACTTTTTGAATACTATATCCTATAATATATGAAAGGCAGAACAGGAAAAGCAGAACATAAGATGTTGGTTTAGAAAAATCCTTAACCATGAAAGCTCAATAGGTGTCAACCCAACAAGGTGACCAGACTATGAAACCAAAATAATAATAGAATAACAAAATTGAAAGGGCCCTTGGAGGTCTTCTATTCCATCCCCCTGCTCAAGCAGGAGACTCATTTCAAACAAACAGCTGTCCAGTCTTTTTAAGTCTCCAGTGATGGAGCATCCACAACTTCTGAAGGCAAGCTGTTCCACTGATTTATTGTTCTCATTGACAGGAAATTTCTCCTTAGTTCTAGGTTCCTTTTCTACTTGGTTAGTTTCCAACCATTCTTGTTTTACTTTCTGTGCTTTGGAAAATAGGTTGACTCCTTCTTCTCTGTGGCAGCCCATCAACATTGGAACACTGATATTATATCACCCCAAGTCCTTCTTTTCACTAGACAAACCCAATTCCTGCAGCCATTCGTCGTATGTTTTAGCCTCCATCCCCTAATCTCATTGCTCTTCTCTGCACTCTTTCTAGTATCTCAATGTCTTTCTATTATGGTGATCAAAACTGGATGCGGTATTCCAAGAGGTCAGGACTTTTATTGTAACAATTATCCTATCCTATCCTGTCCATCTCGCAAATCTGAATATGTTTTCCCCTCCCTCTCTTTATCTTTGTGTGAACTAGGGAGGAGGGTGTCTGAGATTTTTCTCCAGTTATTTTCTTGACTAATTTTAGGCTCTGTTTATCTGACCGTTGCCTTCTTTGGGGCTTTTCCTCCTGTCTCTTAAGACCATTCCCTATGCATTTTACATTAGGTACCATGGGCCAGTCATTATCTTTGTACCAATTGTCTCCCAGGGTTGAGGAAAATTGGAGAGTGTTGTGCATGCAGCCATGGGATCTTGGAAGAAAAACTGGATATAAATCTAAAAAGTAAATAAACAGTAGTATCTTATGAAATATAAAAAGGGTAAAATGTCTTTGAAGAAGTGGGGAGGTGATTTAATTTTGCTTACGATGAGAAGGTCCTGCTTCATAGACAAAATGGGAAATTCCCTGTTTATGGACCAATGTTTGTCCTGAAGTAGAACGTGCATCAGGATAAATCACAAATCCTGCTACCTAAAATCAAAGAGCTACTAAAAGCATTTAAACCAGTTACTAAGCCACATAATAGTAGTAATAATAACAGAAGTATTTCTTAAAATTTGAACGAGAATAAAAGAAAAGAACACACCATCTCTGCTTAGACATGTCCTATATTTTTATTTCATGTATTAAAAATGGAATGGCAATACTATGGAAGGCCAGAATGGCAGAATCAGGTCCTGCAATTGTACAACTCAAGCACAAAAGTGATGGATATAAGGCAACATGAGAGAAGGTGGATAGATAACCACTGAAAAGCTTTCCTCTCTTCTCCCCTCCCCCCATGATTCTTGAAAAAGCACACAAAGCAATTCTTTTTCTTATGAAAGGAAGGAGAAGGGAGTGCATGTGCTGAAGATGGAATAGAAGAAAGCATTTGATTTAATCTCCATGGCAACTTCTTTAGTGTCTGGCTGAAACAAAATGTTCAACATTGACAGAAGCACCTGGATAATTGTGAACAAGATATTATGTATTGTGCTGCTCTTACCAAATTACGACTTTTAGAGCAGGTATTTAGTGATTTCCAGCTGCAAAGGCAATTCACCAAACAGGAAACAAAGTAAGTGGTAATTGAATGAGAGTCATTTGTACACTAACTTTGCTCACCATTTTTTGCCCCTCTGTTCCCTCGCTTTAGGAAGTTTTGAAAACAGCAGACACTGATTGTAGACAATCTGTACCTCCCATTTAATACTAACTACTTAAAACCTTTATTACCCTCTAAGGCAATCTTTTAAATCCTAACACGGCCCCATATGTGACAGATGGTAATTCTTGAATAGTAAATGTTCTCGTCAATTTACTCACTCCTTGTAAAAGAAGAATAACCAGAAATAATAGGTTTTTTTAGTTGAGAAATAATTAGGTGGGGGGGGGGTGTTAGCTTTGTTCCATAACAAAGTAGTACATATATTAATATGATGTATGTGTCTATCAGTGTGGAAGTTAATCATAATTGATCCAACAATGTGGGAGTTCAAAAATATCTCATTAGCAGCAAAACTGGCTGCCGTATATGAAACATCTCTCCTAGTATCTTTCAAAATAATATAGATGGCCAATACTCACAGAATTATGTGCAGCAAAGTGCATAATGGGAATGTGTGTGAGAGAAAAATACAATCACCATTGTTGCTGACATAATCAGAAAAGCACCAGAGATGGAGAGGCTTGAAAAGTCACAACCAATGAAGGCAGAGTTCAAAACTACTAGAGTTATAACCCTTAGACTTAGCTTCCACAGACTAGAGATGTGATGACCAGTTAAGTACAGAAGAAATATAATAAGGAATGGATCATATTTAGTGGCTACAGTATAACAGCACAGAAGGGACACAAATTTACTTATTTTGATTTGGTATATGAGGAAGTAATCTTAAATGTAACACTATTCTCTAGGAGAGAATGAAGTTTCATTCAGATATTTGGACAATTCTGCAAGGGTAAAGATCAGTGACCTGGAATCCATTAGACTAAACGAGAGGACAAAGTAAAAGAAAAAAAAATGGCAAAGAGCTATTCTCCTTTTAATTCCATATTTTTTTCCCCTTGAAGTCAGATTTGATTCAACTTAAGATACAAAAGTTCTTTTCCTATAAACAGCATTCAAGCATTAGTCACTTGTAAACTGGCTAAAGGAATGAATGGGCTTCAAACATGGTCCCAATCAAAGGCTCTTTTAAAAACTCTATACTTGAAATCTCCACAAGTTTTCATCTTCCAGGTTTCATTTAACTACTCCTTTCCTACATTCACATGTCGAAAAGTAATGGCTGAACCTCAAAAAAAGTGCAACAAACAAAATGAATCCTCTGAATTAACTTTAGAGAATTTCCCCAAACTTCTGGTGCTCTATAGATGTTCTTCAACTCACTCTAGCTGAGGGGAGAATGAGAACTTAAGCACAATACACATGGAAAAGACCAATTTGGGGGAAAGGGACAAAGAACGGGAAAACTGGAAGAACTTGCAGCAAATCCCTCATAGCTTCTATGACAATCCAGACTCCTTCCGTGATAAAAAGAGTTATGTCCTTCTGGAAAGGCAGGCGCAACGGATAGAGAGATCAGGCTCAGAAATTAAGAGGCTGATGGCAGATCTCAGTCTATTCAGGAAGAGAGATACCTGTGCACATTGTCTCTTCCTTCCCCCAATATCAAGCAAATTTCTGATGTCCAACCAGTCACATCTACCTGTGCGTGAAGTGTGACAAAAGGCAGCAAGAAAAAAGTCCAGTTGTTCATAAGCTGGAGAGGGGCTGATAAAATGGACATGAAACCCCAGGTAGCCAGCAACTGTCCTTACTTGTCAATGAGTCCTCCTTCCTTCAGCTTGAAATAAAAAAACTTTTCCAGGGTGTTGGCACACTTACAGTAATCACTCTCAGGAGGGTTATACTCACGACAGTTGGTAATGACACGTTGCAAGTCAGCAATAAAGAGCTTCTTGGTAATGTAATAACGATTCTTGAGCCTCTCCGTCATTGTCTTTAGGTCTGCAGAAGGAGTAGGTGGAAGGGAGAGACATAATCAACTGTACAGGAGACAAGGCAAAAATGCATCCTTTCTGACTTTATTATTCATTATAAGCTTGTCACTCACAACTCTCCTGAAAAATAATGAAAAGAGGGAAGAAACATGGGACGAAACATGTAAGTGCAAGCTACAAACTCTTCTGGAATTATGTATAGTTCTCTTCATTAGTTTGTGTAAATGTAATTAGAAGTATCAAAATGGCTGAAGGTAAACTCATCTCAGCTTTCAGAAAATTAGTAGAAATATATTTGCTCTGTCAGTAAAACATTTCCAAAAAGGCAACTCTGTTAGCTTGTGAAAAACAAAAAGCCAGTAGCTGTTTGAGGATGAACTTATTTATAATGACATCAGCTTGAAGTGGAGTATAAATGCTCACCAAGTAATTAGCAATCTGTGCTTCCCACTGATCGCCTCAACCAATTTCAGTGGCACACTTGCCAAAAATCAGTAACTTGGCTTCTACTACTACTCCAATTCCCAAAATTTACAAAAATCATTGCATAAATCCTAAAGTAGACTGAACATAGTTAAAAAAGATCCATCCATTTCAAAAAAAAATCCCATCCAGAAAATCAGAATATTTCAGCCTTTTTCAAACACACATAACACAGGCTTTCCACCTCCTGATGTCCTCAATGCCTTTCATTTGGCTCCAATATGTTTTCCCACTCCTGGTTTGTGCTGTAATAGTGCTAAACCTAAGAATACTGCTAATCTTTTTGGCTGACTATGAAAAGGAAGGTAATGTATGTTCTAATTGCCAAATGGAAGAAAATCTCCTCCAGTTCTATAACATTATTATAATCCAATGAGAAATTACTCTCCAACCATCTAAATAAGAATTTTTCACATCAGCTACATATATTAACTGTACCCATATTTTTTATTACTCTACAGAGCTGATTACTTTTTCAAGCAAAATCCATATCTAGCTACCTACCAATGGGAAAGCGGATAATCTCATAGTAGTCAGGAGCTTCAGATTTCTTCACTGGTTCCATAAATGGCCATGCACTAGGATGAGTCTAATAGGCAACAGGCAGAGAACAACTTGAATAATAAATATTTTTTTTCAAACAGAAACTAAAGCCATGCCTTATTAAGATCAATCAAGATTCACAATGTAGCATATAGGTATTTGAGATATGGAAGTAGACTTCTATTGGACAGGCAAAGGAAAAACAGAAAGGGAAGGTATTTCTGGCAGAAAGAAAGTTTTCTGCCAGAAATATACTTTTCACATTCTAAACACTTTAGTTTAACTTCTTGTTAAATGAAGAACTGTGTTTCCTTCAAAATCCCACCCAAGATTACTTTTAAAAATATTGTTTTGTTACCGCTGTTTAGCTGTTTTGTTTTTCCTAACATATATTGGCCTTTTATCTATTTGTACTGTCACCAATTAATATTTATTCAGCTTGTACGTAAAAAAAATTAAAACAGGTACACGTAGTCCTTGGTTAAGGACTAACTGGGACTGGGATTTCCATAATTAAGCAATATGGTTGTAATGCAAGATATTATGTGACTTCACTACTTAGCAATGTCAGTCCTAGCAATTCCTGTTACTGTTGTTAAATAATGATCACAGGTAATTAAGCAAGGACCTTCTTGCAATTTCCTGCCAGCTGGCACACAATACTAGTGCAACAGGACTGAGGCTGGATGCTGCCAGGTGAGGGAAACTTACAAAGCCAACTTGTGACTTTTCCTGCCGGCTTCCCCCTTTACTTGTGGGAAGCCATGGGACTGCTGTGACAGCTGAAACTTTGAGGATCAGTCATAAGTACCACTCATTCAGCGCTGATATTAACTTCCAACAATCTCTGAAAAAGTGATCATTAACTAAGGACTATCTGAATTCAAAATTTAGTTCTATCTATACTATTCACAGATCAGGGCAAAAATTTCAGGAAAGGTTTGGCTAGTTTTACTTGTCTGGATACCACATCATTGAAAAATCAGATAATCTCTGGTTTATGACTATTGTTCTTCTATTTTAGTTAGAGAAAAGATCCTATTTACACCCCAAGTGATCTTGGAGTCCAGATTACCTTGATTTGGGCAAGGAGATTTTTCAAAGTAGTATACAACTGGTCTGGATCCTTGAGCTCCTTTCTGGAAGGAAAAAATTTAAAAAAGAGTGGTGGTGCTTTTGGTGATGAAAATATTAGAAATTACAAGAGCTACAGAGTATTACAGAGACATCTGCATGATCTAAAAAGGACCAACTCCACCTGGGTTCTCTCTAGAAAAGTCAAGAGTATACCAACTGTCATGAGATCATCATAGATCATCTGGATGAAACTATGGTTTAATGTAGCAATACATTTAGAGAGCTTCAGTTTGGGGAAAGTTTGCCTACACACTTTTGAAATGCTAAAAAAAGCTTTCCAAGATCAGCAGACTTTTCAAGCAACATGCAGTTAATTCTGACAAATTTGTTGGTGCCAGAAGCAAACAAATGGCCAAATTTTGTATGCTATTATAGTCTAGCATAATGGTTGAAATGTTGACCTAGAAACCAGGCAATTGAGTTCTAGGCCTGAAAGCCAGCTGAGTGACTTTAGGCCAGGGGTCCCCAACTTATGGTCTGCGGCCACCAGGCCCTGGGAATAGCTGGCGAGCCCCATCCCATTTGCAGTAGCATCGCTGTGCAGGCACTCACAATTCTATTTGCGCATGCCTGGAAACACTAGCACCGCCACCAGAGTCACACGGGCACCGGTGGCCCGTTTGCGCATGCATACAGGCATCAGCACGTGTGCCATGGGTGTGTGCAGTCCATTTGCGCATGCACATGCATGTTAGTGCCACTGTTGTGCGCATGACTGCGCATGTGCACGTGGGCCGTGCACACACACATTTCCCTGCTGCTCCCTTTCCTTCTAGGCTGCCAAGTTGGAAAGGTTGGGGAACTCTGCTTTAGGCCAATCACACTCTCACTTCAATCCATTTCCCAGGATTGTTGTGGTGAAGAAAATAGAGGAAGAGTATGTGTGTGTGAGAGAGAAAGAGGGAGAGAGGGAGGGAGGGAAGGAGAGAGAGAGAGGGAGCATAAAAGTAATTGTAATAATAAACCCAGGTTTTTGAGGACTGGATAGGTGGATAAATGTCAAATCAGGCTAAATCAGGCTAAACATCTAGCTGACTTTGTGACCAATCATCATCATCATGGATACTCTACCTTGAAAGCATCAAGCAGTAAGCATTAAATCATTAGCTGCATTTTGACACAGATTTGAAAATGCTAGTCCAGTCCATCTTGTTCTATCATTCTACAGTGGAATGAAGTTTTAAGAGAATTTAAGAACCTTTGCCTGTTCTATATTAATTATCCTCTACCAAACTCATTAAGGAAGGCCAACATGTTAAAACAAGCAGAAACATTTCGGGGATATGGGTGAGAAAAGAACATGAAATGCCATATTGCTTACCCCTTTTCTTTATTCAGAGGCTTCCATCCTGTTTCCCCTAGAAAAGAAAGAAAGAGAGAGAGAGAGAGAGAGAGAGAGAGAGAGAGAGAGAGAGAGAGAGAGAGAGAGAGAGAGAGACGAAGAGATAGAGACAAATTATTATTGTAAACATAGACCAGAACTAACTTATTTTTTTAAGGCAGTTCATTTAGTACTAGGGCTAATTGGGACAAGAAAAATACAGAAACAAAAGCAAGCAAGAGAAAAGTTTTGGATAAACACCCGTTCTTTGTATCAGATACGTAGATCTGAATCTGGACCGAATTCTCCCACTGCCATAAACCATATCAACAGAGTTTCCTTCCTCTGCTGCCTCAGAGGGTAGGAGCAAGCACAGCAGAAGGATCAAAGGTGGGAAGAGGACACAGCTAAAATCATGTCAGTTTTTTCTAGCTTTATCAATGTTCACTAAATGCATCGTCACACCTGTTCTAGTACTATCCAGGTATAGGCCCTGCTCAACTCACGGATGCCTGGGATGCTTTCAATCGGAATATGTCGAACTCCCTCTTTGAAGCAAGTGAGGCCAGGGTAGACTTTACGGATCTGTGCTTGCTTTCTCTCTATCAATTTCTTGATGATCTGTGGGAAGAACCAGAAACTCCCATGACTTGCATTGTCATTCCTGGATGCTTCTGCAAGATCAAGGAGATGAGGCAGGCTAAATGTCTCTTAGAGACAGCAGGCTGATGTGTGCAGCTAGGAAACTACTTCCTGGCCAATTCCTAGCTCAGTCTTCAAGCCAAGCACTGTCAAGGTGTTAGGAAAAAGTTGAAGGATGGCAGGCAAAGAGGGAGAAGCTGAATCTGAGAGGAAGAATAAAGAGAATTATTGTGCAGAATCAACCATATATGGTTACTGGCTATGTTGGCTAAAATTATGAAAAATAGAATTCAACTACCCCTACAAAAACATGAAAGGACTGTCATAGGCAGGAAGGCCTCCCCTATGGGAAAATTCAAAGAGAGCAGTTATGCAGTGGAACATGTGCAAATTGGAACACAGAAACCTTTCCTTCACTGAGGAAGGAGAGCCACATTCTTACCACAAATCTGTTTCTGGAATACGTCGCTTAACTCTGCAGAATGTGTTTTTCATATAAGAAAAATACATAGTTTTGAAAAATCCAACCACAGGAATTAGCAGATAGTGTGTGTGTGTGTGTGTGTGTGTGTGATGTGACATAAAAGGGAAATGCAGATAGGGCAAAGAAAGGAATATGATTGATTATATCCCTAAAAGATTAATCAAGGAAAAAACAGATGAGACTATTTAGGAACACACAGAGGGAAAGGCAATAATTTAAGCATATTCTGTACCCAAAGCCAAATTTGCATATGTCCATGAGGGGGAGGAGATGGGGGGAGAGGGAGGGAGGGAGAGAGACGTATTCAGCAGTATGAACTAGTAACAGTAATAAAGATGGTCCACACAAGAATCAGAGATGGATCAAGCACTGTGCTCTATTGTCCACTTCTTCCACCCCAGCCCCTCACCTCCTTCTGCTTCTTGATAATATGTGAAAGCTCCGTATAGGGGATCCGAGGGTTTAGTTCACATTCCATCAGGGTGGCTCCTTCGTAGTCTTTGATGTAGCCAAGGTAGCGGCTCTTGGGGACCTTGATATCTTTTGAAAACCCCTGAATGCCAGAGATAAGAAACCCCATTCATTCTCCGGAATAAGCCAAATGTCATTCAGCAGTAAGAAATATTAACTGACCTATTCTGAAATGTTGCTTCATGTCTTTCTTGCTGCCTAAAGTATGGATCCAACTCATTTTCCTCATCACATTCAGGAATTTATTAAGGAGGGGGGAGAGCAAGGGGTTCATAGAAGCTACACTTAAATTACAGAATTGTAGAATAGTGGACTGTATCTTTTAGACATGCAGTCCCCAAGCTTTGTGTTCTGCAGACTGGTAGTAGCAGGGAGAAGAGAGGATGGTTTCGCACGCTCACCCATCACTTGTGCAAATGGGAGCTCCACGTGCTTACCCGCTGCTTGGCAAGCCCAGTTTCCAATGGGCCATGACCCAGAGATTGGGGACCCCTGTTTTAGACACATTTATAAAGATCTTTTAAAAAATATTAGACGTATTTGACTTATCCCATTTAATGCTTCTTAGAAATATTATAATGTTAATTCCGTAATTCCTAACCAAAGTGATTGGGGATTATAGGGACTATAGGCCAAAATAACGGAAGAATACTAGATTGGGGAATAAACCATTTAATGTTTAATGTGACCTAATATATTTAATGTGATATGTGAATGCAGCTAGACTACCAACTATGTCCATAGATTCAGAAGGAGAACCAGGCCCTTTTTAACAATTGTACCCCCTAGAGTTAAACCAAAAGCCAGTTCCAAATAGAGTTCAGCAACAATGGTGTAGTACCTGCTTTTTGAAATAGCCAATGGCATATTCATCGGCATACGTGAGAAAGTAAAGGATGCTATGTTTGATGTGGTACTCCTTCAGGTGATTCATAAGGTGAGTTCCATAGCCCTTCAAGGAAGTAAAAAAGAAATGAGAAAAAATGATCAGGACACAACCTGGGAACGATCCTCTTTCTGTCATTACATTAATATTCCATCTTTCCTTCTAGAGCTCAAGACAGCCTACACGATTTTCCCAATCATCACGTTTTTGTCTCACAACTACTCTATGAAGCAAATTGGTTTCTTAGTTGAGTAAATATTTAAAACTAGCCCCAAACTTAGATCCTCTACCTCACTAGCTGAAAATTCATATAGGAAGCTAATTTATGTGATGTGATTTGCAATCAAATAGAAATTAATTCTGAGATGAATAATATCCTGTACAGAAATCTGAGGCAATCAATAAAGATAGTTAGCAATAACAACAATTACACAAGATTTTAATATGGAAAACGTGAGGCATAGATGTTCACTTCTCAAAAGGGATTGCCAAAATTGTCAAAGGTTGCTACAGTTAAACCCTCCTCCAAGTTTAACAAAAAACAACTAACCTGTTCAAATAATATGCCAGGTTCCACAGCCTCATATTATGCTTAACATGATGATAGCCTGGTTCGCCCAATGCTCTTAAGAGAATGCCTGCATTCCTAACATATAAAGATAAACTACCCAACCCTGTCTAAGCCTAGTTTAAGTCTATGAGCTACTCTGCATTATTGAAGATAACTAGTATGGATCCATGCCAGTATGTTTTATTTGATCCTTTTAAGAAGCATAGGAGAGGCATTGCCTCTCAGAGTTAAATGTGATTTATTCCAGACAGTGCAAAAGTGTCCTTGAATGGATCCTTTTTCTGCCTTGGATATTAATTGTAAAAGGAAACTCATATTGTTTCCCACGCAGCATTTTAAACTCTACATCAGCTTCTAACTGCTTTTTATACTTTCAAATATTTTTATGCTCTTGCTCTCCATTCATTTGCTACCTCTTAATGTTGCCTCCCATTCCTCAATTACATCCTCTATGACTTTCCACTTCCTATAACTTGAACATCCTGCTTCTTCTAGTTCTTTCTTATTGCACAATTTTCAAGTCTGGTTTGAAGTCCAAGGCACACTAAAAAAGTTAATCCACTGAGAATGAACCCTGAGTCTCTGTTGCAATGTCCAAAGACAGCACAAATGGACTGAAAAGCCTATGAAGATTTTATCACGTCCCATAAGCCAATTTGGGCAAATAAGGATGCTGCTATGTTTAAAAACAACTAATAAATGTTCTCTCTTCCTACATTGGTCTTTTGACATCAGAAAACAAAATCTAAGCTGGCTTTCTATGCTCTGTTCCGATACAGCAAGATCTGGGAAACATCACTGATTATAAGCAGTGAGAGTTCCCTGTATAATTAGTTGGAAGTATCCCAGATGATACTAGCAGACCACTCAATTACTAGATTAGAACCTGTTTTAATCCCCAGCGAATGTTACACATATCTCAAAACAACCCTACCTTGACTTGCTCGTTAGATGTGACAGCACAGAAGACAATCTCAGTGAATCCTTGAGTTGGAAACATCCGAAAACAGATCCCACCAATCACTCGACCATCCTTGATTAATGCCAGAGTCTTGTGCTTGCTGCCAAGAAAATAAGTAGCAGAAAGAGGAGCTTGAACTGGAAGGAGAGGTAAGCCCTACTGAGAATATTCCTGCTTCAGCCTTCATCTTTTTGAGATGTAAGAGGGGAATAAAGCAATGCCAACCATTAACCCTGAATTATAAACCTGAATTAGTTTCATTAACAATTCTAGCTGACATAGAACTTACTTCAACCCTTTCTTGCTGGGAGTCTTTATGTCACCTTGGATTACCATTATTTCCACAGATCTCTTACTGAGCTGCCATGCTTCCTTCTCTACCTCACTTCTTACATTTAAAACAAAAAAGGCTTTCAAAACCAGGAAGTTGGAGTTTTGCATAGAGCCACTTTCAGCACTGTTTCTTTCAAAAATACCTTTAAACCTCAAGTGGGCTCCTTAAATTTTGCTAGAAAATAAACAACATCTCTCCAAAGACACAGACATCTCTCTTCTGGTGTTCTGCAGAGCACACAAGACCTGCTTTTGATCTCAAGCCTGAGATTGATGTGGTTGTAGGGCCTCTGCTGTGATCTGCTGTTTTAGTCCGGGGTGCCTGTAGTGTTGTATGTTTTTAAAAACTTTTATTATTTGGTATTTTTATTAGTCAGCCACCCACAGTCCATGGGAGTGGGCAGTTAGAATGTTAACAACAACAACAGAGAAAAATCACAAAATACAAAGACCTGCAAAGAAAAATGCCTATGCCAATAGGAATAAGCAGTTGGGTGCAATCCCAAAACACCAAGAACATCTTTGATACTGACAAAATCGCCATCAGTCAGCTACAAAATGCAGCTTTACTTGGAACAGCTTACATACCTTTAACACGATCAAACAACACCTGTCTACACCAGGTCCTTGAGAAGGACTCAACAGACAAATATAAAATCCAAGCTAAACCAATCATAATAATAATGTCTCCTGGTGAAACACTTTCTTGATATGGTTGTGGTCTTGTGTGCTCTGAAGACGACAATTATGTCAGAGGTTGAACCATACTTAACAGGTCTCATCAGAGGAGTCAGACAAAAAGTGCCTCTCCCATAAAAATATGTTGAGATGTAAATTACAGAAATCCATACTTGGTTGGTTGCCACAAGAACTGCACTAGGTGTTGGAGTACCTGGATATCTGGTAAAAAATCGGTTAGCGGACTCAGGACTATTGGCTGAGTAACCAGGGACAAACTATCAATGCAAACTACTGGAAGGAAAGGTGTTTACCCATCACAAATACACAGTGATTGAAAAGAAATAAGGATCTTTTATCACAGATCAAATCCAATAAAAATAGGATATTTGAAACAAATGCACCAGTTCTGGAAAAACAACATCCAGAATCAGAAATAACAGAATAGAGATTAATGTCCATTTATAATATGAAATAAAATATTCACAGAAGCAGAATTGGAAGAACTGCAAAAGGTAAAGAAATCAAAACACTGTCAGATGTAACTCAGACAAAGAGGCAAACCAGGGGAAATTGGTAGTAGAGGAAGCCAGCAGAGCCATATAATTATTTTTATTCAGAAACAAAGCACCCTATTATCTGCCTCAGAAAGAGCAAAGTCCTCTAACTGAAGAAGTAGAAGAATTGAACAAAGAATAATTAAGCATCTAGAATAGCACAAAAACAACCAAATAAGGTTGCCTGGACTGAAGCTTGTTCCAAAGAAACAGCTAGTACAAACATTAAAAGATGGCGATACTGATTGCAATATCAAAAATAAGCACTAGCTCGCTGTAACAATAAACCAACTAATGTACAAAACAGCTGTAGTTATAACTGAATACCTGGAATGCAAAATCAACAAAGAAGAAAAAAAGTACACCATCAAAATGGAAGATCAGACTGGAAAATAAGATTAGCAAGCTGAGATCAAATGCAAGTAAGCTAGAAGGGAAGAAAAGAAACTGAAGAACAAGACCAAAAAATGCCTAATCAGAAATACCAGTTAGAAACAAGGAAGATTAAGGAGGTACTGGAAATAATAAAATAGTAAATCAGCTATAGCTAAGAAGATTAGCAGATACGAAACTCAAATTGCAGATTATGGGCAGAATCTCTGATTTCGATCCCAATTAGAAACATTTTACCAATTCATCAATAGAAAAGTTGTAGTGAATCAGTTAGCACCCAACAAGGAAGAAATAGTAGTTTTAGGTGAAGATATGGGATAATCCAAAGAAATATAACAAGAACACAATTTGATTAAGGAGGTAGATAAGAATAAAAAAAGATGAAAGAACTTGTAATAACAGCAGAAATGGTGGAGAAAGGGGCAAGAGAGATCACAAATTGATGAAGATGAATTGCATGGATTTTGGTTGAAACATCTGACTAGTCTATATCTACTTGTTGCCAAGCGGTTTATCAATCTGCTGCAGGGGGATGAAATTGAAGAGTGGCTAAGATGGGGCAAAACCTACCTGATAATGAAAAATCCAGCAAAAGAAGCAGCATCAGGGAACTACAGACCAATTACCTGCTTACAACAACTTTCAAATTGCTAATAGGTATGGTGGCTGATGCAGTCCAACAGCATCTAGTTGAAAACAGCTCTTTCCACTTGAGCAGAAAGAAAACTGCTCAAGTTTTGCAGAGGAACAAAAGACTTTATCTTAATTGTCAAGATGATTTTAGAAAAGTGCAAGACAAGGAAGATCAATTTGAATTAGCATGGATTGATTACAAGAAGGCATTTCATTCCCTGCCACGATTAGATAATCAACCGCCTAGAAATAACACGAGTCAGTAGACACATCAGAAGCTTTGTGCAAAGATAGATGGCATAATGGAAGATGTGGTTGCTAGACAACGCGGAGAGATTGGGAGAGATTAATATCAAGAGAGGGCTCTTCCATGGAAACTCACTACCGCCACTACTGTTCGTCATTTCACTGATTCCTTTGTCAAGAATACTGAATAACTCAGTTCATGGCTATCAAACATCAAAGAATCTGCCAAGTTATCCTGCCTCCTTTACATGAAAGATTTGAAGCTGTATGGAAAAACAACATCTGAAACAGAATCGCTGCTCAACACCATCCATATATATAATCAAAATATTGCAATGGAATTTGGATTGGACAAATGTGCCAAACTCATCATCAAACAGTGAGTATGGCACATCAAACACTATAAAAGAGTGAAAATTGAAGGAATCAAGATGGAAATAACATCAAGAGTGTGGATGAAAATAATCATTACAAATAGCTGGGCATCTTTCAGGCTGACAATATCAAGTACACAGAAGTCAAGAAAAAAGTTAGAAATGAATATCATGAGAATAAAGATGATCTTATATGTCCAAACTCAGTGGAGGAAATACTATCAAGGCAATTATCACCTGGGCAATTCCAGGCACTGGAACAGCAGACTGCACTTAAGCAGAACTAAAAGCTCTGGATAGGAAGACTAGAAAAATAATGAAAATGAATCATGCTTTTCAAACTCCAAATAACATTGACAGAGTGTACTTTACCAAGGAAAATGGGTGGGCATAGAATGCTGCAAATACATCAGACAGTTTAAAAATAAAAAAGGACATTAGAAGAATATCTGAAGGACAGGGAAGAGGACGCATTAAAGCTAGTATACCAGGACGGCTTAGTAAATATGGCCTACAAGAAGTACTAAATGAAGAACAGAAAAGAGAGATGGGAAGACGAAGCAGGCATAGCCAATACATTAAAAAAATAGAAGGCTAAACAGATCATAACAAGACTTGGCAACAGCTAAGAGCAGAAAAGCTGAAAAAAAGGATAGGGGGGCTATTTCTGACTGCACAAAACAACTCCTTAAGAATAAATACATACAAAGCCAGAATTGAGACAGTGACAGATACAATAGTAATAGGCATTCTGGTGCAATCCCAAAACAATTGGAGCACCACTTGAACGCTATCGGCATTGACAAATTCACCATTAGCCAATTGCAAAAGGCAGCTTTACTTGGAACAGCTTACATCCCGGACAACATCTGTATAACCATCAAACATCCACATCTGCCTATCCCAGATCCTTGGGAAGGACTCAATAGGTAGACAAAAAATATCAGATCCAGTCTAAACATCTGGTTGACTGAAATGAAACAATAATGTCAGATGGCTGGAGTCCAAAACTTCATTTGGAAGTATGCCCATTTGGTCAGGGGGAAAAAAATCTGTAAGAATACAGATAGTCCTCAGTTTATGACCACCAAGGAGCCCCAAATTTATGTTGCTAAGTGAGACATTTGTTAAGTGAGTTTTGCCCCATTTTACCTTTCTTCCCACAGTTATTAAATGAATCACTGCAGTTGTTAAGTTAGTAACACGGTTAAGTGAATATGGCTTTCCCATTGACTTTGCTTGCTATAAGGTCATAAAAATGGATCACATGATCCCTGGGACACTGCCACTGCCATAAATATGAGTCATTTGCCAAGCGGCTGAATTTTGATCATATGACAACAGGAACACTGCACTGGCCATAAGGGTGAAAAACAGTCATAAGTCACTTTTTTCAGTGCTGTTATAACTTCGAAGTCACTAAATAAAATGTCGTTAAGTTGTGGACTACTTCTATGTGCAATGAAGCATTTATGATGGAACTAAAATTGGGGCAAACAGAATTAGGATTTGATTAGGACAGTTGGGTTCCTCACTGCAACCATTTTATAAAAGAACCAATGCCTTCCCAACAGATATTATTGGGAGTCCAGCTCATGAAGCTGTAATTCACAGAACTTTTTGCGGAGAATAAGTAGCTAAATCTCAAGCTCTACTGTATATCCTGTTTACTAAAAGATTAATGTAATTACAGAAGATAGGGTTCAGAACATGGCAGAGGGATAGAGACATAAAGCAAAGTTGTATATTTTGGAAAGAGAAACATTTCATATACTAATATTAGTAGGGAAAACATGTTATGCACTAAAAGGGTCCCCTTGATTATTTTATTCAAACGACCAATCTCATTCACATTTATAAGCCTTTATCCTAACTTATTAGAACTAATTTATAATCAGCCCAACTTCAGGGACTCAAGATTTGATGGTTGCCATGTATGTGGATTTATGATACACAAGGTGTAACTTTCACTTTCTAATATCATTCCCAAACCTACGGGTCAAAAACCAAGCGGGTGATGTATTCCTTGGGCATTCGAGGCAGCTGATGTGAAAAAACATTCTGTAGCCCAACCAGCCACATGAGGATCTCCTTGTTCGATTTTTGAGAAAGTGAGTTGCCAATGACATGAAATTCTATGATTCCACGCCGTTCCTCTAGACGGGCTGTCTCATCTCGGGCTGCATTTGCTGACAAGAGACTGGTCTGCAAGTAAAAGAAACATTCTGATTTTAAAAAAAAAGAATTAAAGACAATATGTAAAATATATAGTCAAAGGTAGATTAAGACATTTATTGGTGTAGGGGAGGTTTCATCCTCTATATAGATTACTTTCATCCTTCTAAATCTATACAGATAACTTAAATTTGAAAAATTGTTAAAATCTTTAAAATTAAAAGCTTCATTTAGCAGACTTAATTATGATATTTGAGCTCATCATAAAAAAGCAAAAAACATTTTTAATAAGATCCTAGCATAGAGGCTGGAAAAAATATGGATCAGGCAATACATTCTGTAATTTGCACAATACAATATACGGGACAGCTATTAAAACTAATTTTGCAGTGTTTTATGATGCAAATAAAAATGGGGACAATCAGCTGACTATACCTCAGGCCCCAACATGGCTGCTGGATCAGTAATAGTAAGCATCACTTCATTAACAAGCTCCATTGGAATATCACCTAAGACACGAATTCTCTTTGCATCCTCAAGGGTCAAACTTTCTGGAAGTTTCCTTTTCTCACCTGTGTGGAAGGAAAAAAAAAACTATAGTACACAAAAATATCAAAACTAAATGTAATGCATATGAGAGGTGAAGCCATAATTTATAGAAATCACCCTTAGATACTAGCCTGGGTTTGGCCTCATATTTTTAAGTCTTCGGACTTTAATGTTTTGCTCTTTTAAAATAAAAAAAAAATAATAAAAATTTATTCCAAGTTTAACAGAACATTTTAAGAAAAAGGGAACTTTAATAAAATTCATTCAAATGATGAGGGTTTTTATACTAAGCTTTTCTTTCAGACATTTTGATTTTTGCTTTACATTCCCTTGCTGCTCATAAAGATTTTACCTGGCACAGAATCCAGTGAGCTCCCATCCAGATTAATAGATGCCAAAGATGAGCTGCAACTTAGAGATCTGTTGAACAAAGGAGTGCTAGCTGCAGGAACAGTACTGATAGCTACACAAGAAAAAGGAACAGCAATAGTATATGCATTAAAATATGAAGGCTTTATGACTTAGGGATGCTGATGAGATTGTTCAGCTCCTTAAACTTCTGCACACAAAAGCTTATTTCATTTTTATCCCATCCCTTCTGCAAGAAACTCAGGATAGCACACATGAATTTATCCCATGAGGTGCTTGCAACAATCTTATTGTGAATTGATGAAGATCCTGGGATCAAGCTTATTTTATTTGTATAAATAAACCCATCTCACCTAAGTGACTGGATAGCTCACAACAGTCAAAACACCAATGTAATAAAAACAAGTTAAACATCAATCTAATAAAAACAAGTTAACACACAACATATAAAACACTGATAACTACTTTAAAACTAATTATGGTCAGTGGGCTAAGTCCAGTCTTGTACAAGCTCAAGAAAGCCATTATAAAACCTCCCCACCATTCCAGACTCCCAAACATGGTGACAGAGCCCTATCTTCAGGCTCAATTTAACTTTTGATTGGAAATTTCATCAAAATCTCCCTTCCCCAACTTGGCGATCCACCCTACAACTCTAAATTTTTCCAGTGATAAAATCACTATCTACTACCAAAGGAAGCAACCTTTGAAAAAAATGTGTTAACTATAATAATGAATTTCTACCAGGGAACTTGTCTACTCTCCTATCTCAATTGATTGATCTTTTTTAGGAATGGCAGGGTTTCTCCAGGCTTGAATTCAAAATGGCTAAAAGCAGTTTCCTGGATGGTGAGATGTTTTCCTGCACTCTAAACAACCTGATTTGCAGTGATTTGGTTTTTTTAAAATGCCTGCTCTCTATGCAAAAGAAGACTAGTGAAACTGAAGCATTCTTGAAATCTCATTCGCAAAACTGTCTAACTTTGCTTTAGTAAGAAGGAAACTTGCAGGAATTGAACCATTGCCATAAATATGATTACTGTTCCTGTATGTTAAACCTCATCGGAGGAGAAGGGACATAAAACAATGTAGCTCAACAACCAAATACTTCGGGGTAGAGGCTGTTTTACATGCAAAAGACTCTACTTCAAACTTCCATATCACCAGAGCTGAGGAGTATCTCTGGCTGTCATATCAGACAATGCCTGTCAATCAGAGCAGGCTTTACTAAGGCAGACAAACGAGCATTTCAATTTACTATACGGTAGTTTGAAACCCTTTACAGCTATACCAACAAGAACCACATTAGTTAAAAGGAATATTACATACCTGATCGGGGTACAAGTGGAGCCCCTTCAGTTGCAGGCACAGTGAAGTCAGCTTCCCAGATTGGGGAGCTCTCCCCATAGATTTCTTCCTCCAGCATTGACAAAAATCTGGAGATAAATTGGAAAGAAATTGGATCAGAAATCCAATCTAATTAATGTCAACTTATTGGCGTTCAAATCCCACTTTATTATTAAAAACAAGTCAGTACTTATTCATACAGTAAACAGAACTGAACCCAACTGAATGGTGCTTAATTCACTATCTCAAATCTTACTTTAGAAACCAGCAGTAGGTAGGTTTTGTAAGCTACAATGCCTCTTCTTTCTCTCCACTAAAAAGTGCAGGTAAGCATACTCTATTTTATATAGCTGGCTTGCAAAAAAAAAAAAAAAAAGACTAAAATGCACATTGCAATCTTGGGCTCTTATATGACAGGAACATGATATTTGAAGTATTTCAGATGATGTTGAATCACAATTCCCAGTAGCCATAATTAAAATGACCAATGATGAGAAATGCTGGGAGCTTTAGTTCAGCAAGAGCTGTAAGGTCACTGGTTTCTCACCTGTTACATATACAGACAGAACACACATACACACACACAAAACCAATCTTTGCTTTATGGAAGCCCTTCAAAGCTAATCTAATTGAATAAAAGCTAGCTAATAGAGATAATAAAATAAAACAAAATGGATCCATAAAGATGATTAACTCTACGACTACTGCATATACTTTCCCCGCCAACCTAAAATAACACAGCCTTGACACAAGTTTACCATCTCAAAAAGAACTAGGCTTCACCATTTAAAAAAATCCTTTTTTATATTCCCTTTCTACTCAGTCTCTTATCATTTTCTGAATGTTTGCCTTACTTGGGGAAGTGAGTGAGAATGAGGGTTCTTTTCTCTGGCACCAGCTTATCTTTCTCCACTCGGAATTTCTCAAGCAGCTGCCTGCGAGTAACCGTGAAAGTGGACTTGAGGAGATTGCGCCCAAAGACCTGGGTGGTCTCATAACGTGGAAGACTGTCACAGCTCTGGGGAACATGGCAATAACACAACCACCTGGAAAAGTATGAGGTGTGAGTAGTAAGAGAGAAAAGCAAGCAGGAATCTAAGGCACCGAGGAGTGTGTTTAGGATTCCAGAAAGCCTTTAGCTGACTTGTACTTGATACAAAACAAAGACTAGTTTGAGGTAAGAAAGCTGAGGGCAGAGATCCAGAAGAGTATAATATGACTGCATAACTGATAATATCCACTGGGGACTGTTGGGAGTAGATTTAAACAGCAAGTAGTCCTCAATTTACAACCACAATTGAGCCCAAAATTTCTGCTGCTAAGTCAGACAGTTGTTAAGTGAATTTTGCCCCCTTTTACTTTTCTTGCCACACTTGCCAAGTGAATCACTGCAATTGTTAAGTTTGTAACACGGTTGTTGTGACTTTGGCTTTCCCCATTGACTTTGCTTGAAATTAAGTCATAAAAGGTGGTCACCTGACATTGGGACATTGCAACCATCATAAATATGAGTCAGTTGCCAAGTGTCTGAATTTTGAAAACATGACCATGGGGATGCTGCAATGGTTATAAGTGTGAAAATGTTCATGTCACTTTTTTCAAGCGATCATAGACGCTTGGCAACTGACTCATATTTATGATGACTGCAATAGTCCAAGGTTATATGACCACTTTTTGCAAAGTCAGTGGGGGACTATTGTTACGTAACTTTCTAGGTTTTCCTGAACCACAACTCCCAATAAATTCTTGTGCTTGAACAAAATCAGAATGTTCCTTGCCTCTATATTACACAAAGAAAATAGTTTCTAAAGTTTGAAGATTTTTTTTCCTCCTAGGGAAAAAATAACTGTGTTCTGTATTTGCTAAAAGCCGTCTCTCTAATCACCATTATATATATGTTGGACAAAAACTAGATCCGTAAAAGAAATGGTGGAAAGAAATATAACAACTCCCTTTGTTCTCCCCTCTGCCTTGTTTGCTAGGCTCACCGTGTGTAGTTGACTTTGTATGTTGCCACATCATCATTTTGGGAGCGTTGGCGGAACTGGGATGGCGTTTCTAACTTCCAATAGTTTAGGCAAAGAAGAAACATTTTAGAAAGCTCAAACATGGTCTGTCGCTCCTTAGGGGGCAAATGGCTGAACTTGTATTGTACAAAGTTTAAGACACCCTGGGAAGAGAAATCAGAAATAGCAGATATTTTTAGCAGTAGGAAAAAATTATTACAGCTCATCAATTTGCATTTATCTTCTATTTTTATTGATTATGTTTTTTAAGAGTCTGGGTTTTTCATTCATGTCAACTGAGATTGAAAGGCTAGATGCTTTCCTCATGATGCCTGTTTTTCTGCCCAAGGCAACAGGAATCAGACTTGACTTGAATATTAGGATAACATCTTACATCTGCAAAAATACAGCATCTTACCTGCTCAATGTTTGGCTTCTCAAAGGGGGGGCTTCCAAGAGAGCCCTCGACAACTGGACGGCTCATCTGTAGAATGCATTTTCTTAGAAGCTTCAGAGAAAGAAAAGCAAATCCAATCTCAATATCACATTTTATTTCCAGAGGCTGTTTTATAATCTGATTCATCTGAAATGTCTAAGGCAGTGGCTTAGAAAGAAGTGATATGCCTACCAAACTCCAATTATCATGTGAGTAGTTTAAAGCCAACCATTGCCTGCATCAATGAAACAAGCAAAAAGGGAGTAAAATTTTAAAAAGTCAAGGGGGAGAACCCAGGGGAAAGTAAATAAAAAAAAACTTAAGGAAATATAAAGCTCATTCTAATATAGTTCTATGGGAAGGCCAAAAATTCCAGAAAAAAATCCAGTGCCTTATTTTTCTATAGAAAAAAATTACATCCCTCCTTACTGTCTATAGAGTTGAGTTCCTTGACTTTCAAAAATGTGTTTAAGTATCAATAGATTTTAATACCTTTTTTGCTTATGTAATATAAGATGGATGTTATTGCTATTAAATGGTAAAAAGTTCTATATAATAGAACATACTTAAAACACACAGTGAGTGTGCTCTCCCCCCCCTCAAATATTTCAGGTCAATTCTTGATATGTTCTATATTATTATTATTACTACTACTACTACTACTACTACTACTACTACTACTACTACTACTACTACTATTACTATTCTCAGTCATCCAGGTCATAGTTATCCCAAAGGTGCTTTTTCACAAGGCAACAGGACTTTCTTGCTTTTCTTTGAAGATGTTTTGCTTCTTATCCAGGAAGCTTCTTCAGCTGAAGAAGCTTTTTGGATGAGAAGTGAAACATCTTCAAGGAAAAACAAGAAAGTCTTCACAAGTTGCCTTGTGAAAAAACACCTTTGGAAAAATTAGACCAAAAATAAATCAAAATGAGTTGTCCACAATCAAGTCAGGTCAAAGGTAGGCATAGAAACTACTATTAAAAAAATAATCATCTGGCCCAAATTCAAAGTACCTCCAGCACACTAGACAAGCAGATCACATTAGCAAGGCACTTCATAATACTGATCTGCATAATAATGGCATAACAATGAAAAACAGCTGATTTAGGATAAGTTGACCTCAGATAGGCTTCTATCCCAAAGATGCACTCTAGAATCCTATCTCACCTTGAACAAGTAGAAATAAACTTGTTTGGTATCTGTGTCTTCCTCTTTATGCACAGACATGAAGAGGTTCTCCACATCTACCACCATCCCCAGAAGACGGTTGATCTCTTCCTCAGAGACATTCTCCAGATGAGAGACATGGTCAGCTAAAAGCAGGTAAGAAAATCAGATCAAGCTTTGAATTTCATATCTTTAAACTAGGAACCTTGTTGGAATACAAATGAGGTTCACTGTCCATGAATATTTCTCTTTGTCTAGAGACAGTGATATAACTGTCTTTGTCTAGAGACAGTGATAGAAAACGGACAAAAAACAACAACAGTTGATTGCCCTGGTGACTGTGGTCAATCATAAAATGGCTACATAAATATTGCTCATGATATTACAGGTTATCTTTTTTTTCTTCGTGGAAAAGTGCATACAATTTTATCTAAAGCAATAAACTGCACCTATCCACCATTTCTATTTTTAAGAATGCTTACTGGAATTTTATGTGAAGCACAAAGGTATTTTTGAAAATAAAGACACTGGTGTTTTATAGCTTCCCAATTTCCCATTACAGTCAGGAGTCTTGTTCTCTTAATTAATCAGAATTTTATGTCAAAATCAGTTCTTAGCTTATGATTCTGGCTTAGGCTAATCACCTCCTTTTTTTATCCAACTTGGAAGATTATTGAAAGGAGAAAAAAATTGAGAGTAAATATGTGTGTGTGTGTGTGTGTGTGTGTGTGTGTGTGTGTGTGTGTGTGTGTATTGGCTCAATTGTTGATGAAGATTGTTATAAAAAGCATTTAAATTATTCTTAAAAAGCCTCCCCCCCAAAAAATTAACATGACAAGACCATCTGATGTCACACACAAGGTAAGGAGGCTTTAATTTTACTTAAAAGAAAATAATGAGTGATCTAAACTGCTTCTTCTCTAAAATAGGTATAAAAACAAAATCAGACATATGTAGAATTCCACTGTCCCCAAAAGCCCCGTGCTATTGTCTACTATGAATTCTCTTTCTCATTTTTTTACCCTTGTGTTTAGTCCTCAGTGACCACCAATTGATTTTCCACTGCTCCTAAAGTAGTATTTTTCAAGAAATAAACAGTATAGGAGGGCAAACAATTTTTTAAAAAAAAAACTATAGCTAGAAAGTCATAAAAAATGACTTAACACAATCCAATCAATTCAAGTTTATCGCTACAAACTTTTCAAAATTACAGCCTAAAGTTTATGTAGCTGGAGAACAGTAAACTAATATTTTACTGCATAGGAAGATCTAATAGCCAACTAGAACTGCTGCCACCAGTGTCAAGGGAACTGACAAGAGAACACTGCTTGTGAAAGAAGCAATCCATTCAAAGACATCTTTGGAAGTCCCTATCAGGCCCAACCCTGAACGAAATATATGGGAATAGCCAATGTCAAATTAAGATTTTGCAATCTGGAAAAAAGTTTCCTACTCCTTTCACTTCCCTGCTAATAGCTCTGTATTATGGTTCTAGCAGAGAATCTTTCATCTGGCTAGCAATGTTTTACAGCAGTGCTTCTCAACTGGCTGTAAACTGTCAGATGCCTGGATTTCAAATCCTAGATTTCTCTAGTCAGTATGATGCACATCTGTGCTAATGGTAGTAGACCCAATTTTGAAATCCTCCTGCTAACCGTATATTTCAGTCTCAGTGAGAGAAGACTGTGGTGGAGGTGGTAAGTAACTCTGTAGTTACCTAGTGTGTGTCCACAACTACGGCAGGGTTCACTGAGATTGGTGACTGTTTGTTGCAAATCCATGCGGGGAGCTGTGGGAGGATTTGGGTTCTTCCAGCCATTGCACTTGCAAGAGTCATTAGCCTGCAGAGATAGGAGAAAAAACAGAGACAGAATTTAAACTACTGAACATATAAAGCAAAGACAAAGGTTAATATTTTCATTGTCCAAGCCACCCGTGGCTTTTGGAGGTGTATTCTAAAAATTAGGAGATTTGTGGGTTTTAATCAAATGAAATTTTATCTTTCTAACAGTCAGTGACCAACAAAAACTAATAATAGTATTAGAGTTATTCTCATTTAGCAACCACAATTAGAACCAACAATTTAATCATTAAGCAAAGCAGTTGCTAAGTGAGACTATAAATATGCTTATGATCTTACTTCAAGTTTCCTTTCCTTTAGACACCAGGAAACACAATAAATGTAAGTTTAGTTGCAAATTTACTTTTTCATTGCTGTCTTAACAGTGAATGATGACTAAATGAGGTAGTCACTAAACAAGGACTGCCTCTATGAACAATTTAGCTTCCCAACTATGCAAAATATCTAAAAATTATATAAAATTATATATAGGAGATTTATATATACATGTATGTATAAATATTATAAAATTTGGATTGCTAACAAAGAATTAAGGGAGAATGGGATAGCTATTTCGAGTTTCTTAACTCTCTTCAGCCACACTTACCCTTCTGAGATTCGAGCCTGGGCTGTGTGCATGTTATTAAGACTACAAAACTGTAATACAGCACTGGTTCTCAATCTTTTTGAATCCATGAGAAAAATACTGAATATAGCCCTATTTCTATAGTATATTAGAAAATTATTAATTTTATATAGAACATGTGATACAAGGAAGGTTTGAGGGGAAATTATACAATTTTTAAAATAACTGCATTGTATCAAATTATATAGAATATACATAATACAATAAAAATATTTTTAAAAGTAACGTGACAAAAGTCTTGTGGCACAATAGTAACAAGCCCATGGCACACCTATGTGCTACTTAAGAACCACTATAGTACAGTATAACACACGTGTGATACAAAACATCAATATATAAAAAACTATAGAATATTAGAATTAGTAACCCAAACTACAAAATTCCTGTACAAGTAATCCTCAACTTACGACCACTATTGAGCGGCAAACTTCTGTTATCAAGTGAGACATTTTGCCACTTTTCTTGCCACAGTTGTTATGTGAAGCACTGCATTTGTTAAGTTAATAACACAGTTGTTAAGTTAATCTGGTTTCCCCATTGATTTTGCTTGTCAAAAGGTTTCAAAAAGTGATCATATGACCTTGGGACACAGCAATGGTCCTAAGTATGAACCAATTATCAAGCATGTGAATTTTGATCACATGATCATGGTAATGCTACAAAGATCATAAGAGTGAAAAACAGCCATACGTTAGTGCCACTGTAACTTTGAATAGTCACTGAATGAACTATTGTATGTCAAGGACTACCTGTATTACTAAAATCTGTGTGAACTCTGAAACTAATATTAGATCTTAAACCTTAAAATATTCATACTACAGGATTAAATGATGTGATATAAATATCACAAAAGCAATAGCAGTAAAAATTAAAATGTATGATAACTAAAATAATCAACACTGATAGGAGTACAGTTAGTTAGTCCTCCTTACAACCACTGCATTTAGTGACCATTCAAAGTTACAACTGCACTGAAGAAAGTGACTTATGACCCTTTTTCACACTTTTGACAGTTGCAGTACCTCCATGGTCACGTAATCAAAATTCAGATGCTCAACTGGCATGTATTTATGATAGCTGCAATTCCTGAGAGCATGTGATCACTTTCTGCAATCCTCTGACAGGCAAATTCAATGGGGAAGCCAGATTCACTTAACAACCATGTTACTAACTAAACAACTGCACTGATTCACTTAACAATTGTGGCAAGAAAGATAGTACAATGGGGCAAAACATACTTAACAACTGTCTTGCTTAGCACAAAACCTTTGGCTCAATTGTCGTTGCAAGTTAAGAACTATTTGCATACCGATATTGCCTTTATCTGACTTCCTGACAGTGAATTCTGGGGGTTTAGTTTTTTGAACTATACAAAACATGGAAGCATTATATATGGAGGAAATATAATTTAAGAATAGTAAGAAAACAAACGTGAACCCAACAGCATTGTAAGTACAGTTGGTACATAAGACACTTAACAAATCTCTATGAATGACGGCTACAGCAGAACATATTTAACTTTTATAGAATTACATAGATATTTATATTCCATGCATGGGCTTAAACTGATGTAATTAATATAGTTAAATAAAAATACATTAAAATAGATATGTTCCTTCCCTATATATAATTTCTCATTTCTAATACTTCTAAAAATCACACTTGTTTTAATAATTCTGACTTAAGTCCCCATCAGCCCCAGCTATCTAAGACAATGATTTGAAAGAGTTGTCTTCCAATAATATATGGAGAGATCACAATTTTTCTCCCTTAGTATATCTTTATGTGCTGCCTCATGAAGCTACTTTATAAAGTAAATCTATGTTGAATGTTCATTATTCCAGCATGATAGCAGGAAACGTTTCTCAAAGGTCTTTGATTGTTTTATTTTTCATTTTATTAAAAAAAATAATAAATTGCTTTCAACATAAAAAGACTATAGAGAAATACTTAAACAATAATCCTATAAAAACTAAATTAAAAACAGAATACAATTAAGACACATCAGAGAATAAAACAAATTGCAATCAAAGCCACTAAAAGCCAAACACAACAAAAATGTTTCAAGAATTTGCTTAATATTAAAAAAAGAGGGGTCTAATCTGAACATCATACTGAGTAAATTTTGTACCCAGAATGCAGTCCTAGAAAAAAATTGTCCCATATTCCCATTAGCTTTGCTTGGTGATGAAGCTTATAATAAGATCTCTGAAGAAAAATATAAACTCTATGCAAGTTCATACTGAAAGAGGAACAGGCACTTTTCCTGGCTCCTATCTTGGGGCTTTTTTAAAAGCAAAAGTTACTGAGGGTTACTTAGGACTAAAAAGCAATCAAATGTTCTTATAAATCTGTATTAAAATATGGCAGGAACAGGTATAAAGTGGCCTACTCAACATGCACAATACTGCAATATTATATGCAACAAGTGACTGAAGTAAAGATGACTATCGCTTACATTTACTTTTTCTCCTTCCTTTTCCAAGCTTAAACATTCAGAATTCTCAGCCAAGGACTTCCTTCTCTGGCATTGTCAGGATTTGAATTCCAGGCACAGGACCTAACCCCATTTGGCTACGATGAGATCAGTGAAGGCACCCAGTGTTGCTCTGAATACTGAAACCCTATGGTTCTAATCCATCATATGCACTTTGGGATGTTATTATAAGCATACAGGTGAATTGCCATTTAATAACTGACTCATTTAACAACTGTTTGCAGTTACACACAACAATGATGAAAAAATAATTTTATAACCAAACCTCACATTTATAACCTTTGCAAGTCTGTAAAAATTGAAGTAAGACAATAAGCCCAGTTGTTTCATTTAGCAATTTGCTTGACAGTTGAGTTGCAAGTCTCAATTATGCTTGCTAAACAAGGATTATCTCTACACTACACTGTTAGCACAACAGTAAAAACATCCACATCTGGGGGCATACAATTGTATTATTACAAGGGCTACTTTGCAGCAATAAATTGTCCCAGCACAAAGGATTTATGTCTCACTTCTGATAAAACAGAAATTGATTTCTATTTCATTTCCCACATATACTCTTGCTCTCATAATACTATCATTGATAAAATGGTTGAATGTGATATTTCTTGAGGTGGAAAAAATGCATGCAATTTCATATCCTGTTAACATCCTATTTGACTCTGCTAATGGTTGTTCCTACTGTATACATTCAGTCACCCTCTCTGTGTATTGTTATATATACAACAGAGATGCACAACGCTACTGTGCAAATCAGAAAAAGCTGCAGCTTCTTTAAGGGGATGGTGAGAGGTGTGTATGTCCAGCCATGCCCCCTCCAAGGCACCACACTCTGCAAATTGCCTTATAATCTACCCTGATAAAAGTTTTTTCCTAATCACACAGAAGTGATTTTTAAAAAATGCATTTTAAAAATGCACTTAATATATTTGGGGCAAATAAGGTAATAATATGGTCTAAAACTTAGGATATCAGGTTGCAAACCCTGTGGCAATTAATATCATGATAACTCTAAACTCTATGAAGAATAGATTTTCTCTCTTTTAGACAAATAAATGTATTTTCATAAAGTAGATGTTTCCCAGGAAGCATTTGATGGATGTGATTAAAATCAATATGTTGATTTAAATTTTAAATTGATGAGGTATAGCTAAATAAAAGATTATATGCCTTGCATGTAAAAATTTGCATGCTTTTAACTTCTACCACTGTTGGTCGTTAGAATAGGTGCAAAAGACCTGTCTAGATTTTGGAGAGCCACCTAGTGCCCATCACAGTAGCCGAACAGGCCAAAAGAATCACCAATTTGTAGAGCAACTCCTTGTAATCCCAAAGCCGCCTACTGAGATGGGCCCAGAGCATAGGATAGTTCCCCAAATAAAATCCTGAACCCATGAACTGGCAGACAATGCGGTATGGTTTTTAAGTTTACAGCATCTTGTCCGGGAGAATATCCAACGATAGCTGGTCCACACACCCGAAGGAACTCCCAAACTCTTTTGTCTCCTCCAGGCCCCCGTACCTTGCATGCTGAAAATACTCCCAGCTTTTCCAGCTTTTTTGCCCGCGGGAAGCTCCGCGCGTGCGCCTTGCGCTGGCTCGCGCGCTGCTGCTGACTTAATCCTGGACGGACCGGGTCGCTGGTGCTTCCTCCAGCTCCGCTTCCACCTACTACCGGCGGTGCTGTAACGGTAGAGGAGGTAGCGGAGGAAGGAGCGTTAGTCTGCGGGATCCGGGTAGCTTGCGAGACCTCTATCTCCGCCATGATGCCTAAGACCCTGCAAGACGGCGTGGGCGCGTGGCTACCACTGAGCATGTTCAGAAATTGGGAGGGGGCCTTTGTCCATTGTGTTGAGCGCTGTTGCGCATGCTCCCTGATATCAGTTGCATGCTGGGGAATGTATTTCTAGATTGTTAATGGAGAGAAGGCTGCTGTCCATTCGGAAAGCTAATATTGTATTTTTTTAAAAAAAGGCAAATGCAATTTTCTAGCCATGAATATAGATACAGCGAAGAGTGAAAAATATGTAAAAAATATTTGATTTCTGTCATAATTTGCAAATTTTAGAAAATCTGTTTCAAATGAACGTCTCACCCATTCGTAAAACGAAATGAATGCTAGCAAGGATAGACCTTTGTAGGATATGAGTATTTAAAGTTTATATAATGCACTATCAGTAATTTTCATGTGCATTTCAGTTTTGCTTTAAATTAGCATTATTTGTACATTGTACCTCAGATTTCCAAACAGTAAAGCATGAGTTCTCTTAACTTTGGGTCATGACCCTCAAGCAATTTGGGAGGGGTGTATTTGTGGAGTTGTAGGGTTGTTGTTTTTTTAATATAAAAACTGATCAAATTTTTCCTGGGAAAGTAAAGGCATAGGAAGCCTTAACAAAGCAGAGGTATTTCTGAGAAATGACCAGTTTGTGTTATGTGGGTAATTTTCAACAAAGTATTTGTTGAATGCTATGACAAAGCTAAAGATGATCAATCTATTGGTTAAACTAAAATGTGTGTCAGAAAATATGGTGCAAGTTACCAATCTTTTATTTTTATTTTTCTCTCCAGTCTTAACTTTCATTGAATCAGATAAATTCATGAGGAAATGATTGCAAAAGCGTTTAATCGTTTTAAGGAGTCATGGTAAACAAAGTTACAAAACCCCTGCAAAACCAAATGTTAAATTTAGAAAGTTACCAGTATTTATGTAAGCTGATATGTGCAATAACAATGATTCAATTATGTTCAACACTTGATTTATAAAAATTTATTTTTAGCTCATACACAACTGAAGCTTTGTATTGAAGAGATTGATGTAGAGTTTTAAATACAAATATGCATAAGACAAAAATTGCCTTGGACACTAGCTCAGAAACAAAACCCCTTTTGCATTACCAATATTGGTAATGTTGTATATATGAAAATATTTATCATTGCTCCCCTCCCCAGTTTGAATACAGTCTACCAACCTGTTTTGCTGATACATCCAATATCCTGATAGGGTTACAATAGCATAATATTACTCATAAAAATGGTCATTTTATATATTTAACAGGCTGAATTAATGCATTACATCTAACATGTAAATAATAGGTTAATGTAGATTTGGCATACCAAAAGCCCAATGCAACCTAGGAATGATAAAGGACTAATTGGTATGTTATTAAAAAGATACTGATTTGTTAAATGCTAGAAACTAGAATACAAAAGAGGAAAATCAAGTTTCTATTGTTCTTCAAAAACATTCATAATTACAAATTTGGTTAAGACAAAGCTTAAAGGCTATGGGTTTCTCTCAATCTATCATTAATACTACAGCTTCAATTCACGGTTGCCTGTAGGTTTCCGTAACATAGTCTTTTACCGGCTTGTATGTCATTTCTGAACCAAACTTTAAATAAAAAATGTTGTGCATAATAATTCTGCAACTCATTCCTATTTTATGTAACCTCCCCTGGCTACAGCTTCTACTTTTCTTAGGGCAGAACACTATCAGCTGAAGGAGCGTGGAATAACCAAGGAGCTTGAAATCACCCAGCAGATGTTATGGAAGACATATTTTGTCTTGGAAACGGATGTCCTTCTTCCAGGGAGCTCTGAGCAAATGCAAGAGTATAAATCCTGAAGATAAAAGCCAGAATGGAAGAGGGACCAAGGTTTTGAAAGCACACATTGTCCACCTACAAAGATGTAGAAGAGTGCCATTGTTCATCTGTATTAAAAAGACTTCTTTAAAAAAAACAAATCTATTGTTTGTTCAGAAGAGAAATGGCCTCTGCTGTGTTCCCCTCCCCCACTCTATGAGGGGAAAAAAATGGGGGGGGGGGGGAGAAAGATCCTGGCAGCTGGTCTTGTAAGTGCAATTGATTCAGACACATTCCAACTGGAGCTGCCAGACAAGAATCCTTAGTGGCTGCAACATTGCCCCTTGCTAGATTGGGTACTCTCCTGAAGGCTGATGTTTAGATTCTTGCCTGCTGTTCCTGTTGTATTCTGTGGTTCATTTCTGGGAAGTTTCTTTGCTGAAGGGAAAGAGGAGGGTATATTTAGGAGCTTGGTTCTTAAATTCATTCCACAGGAAAAATTAAAAGCACAAAAGGGGGAGGAGAGATTTATTGAGATCACTAGTTCTTTCCTGGCTAATCCTGCCCAATATACCTGTTGTAATTCAATGGAAGATGAACATTCACAAAATACACTTTAGGTAGATGTGCTCCTACGCCAATCATTCTCCCCCAGCCTCTGGACCTTCTTATTCCATAGTTCACAAGCTTCTCGTGTTTCCCTTTTACCTTGACTCAGTCTGTCATTGAACCCATTCTTTTTACCCCCACCTTTCTATTCATTTCTGTTCTCTGCCTTATCTCTATTTCCCTCTTGCAAGTTTCTGTGTGCATTTGTAGAGCCTATGCTCTTACCCAGCACCAGAAAGGTCCTCTTTTGCTTAGGCCTGCAACTTATCACAAATTTATTTTGTTAAAATTCTGCAGAGTGTTTGGGAACTTAGATTACTATCCTTGAAAAAGTTTGCTTGGTGTAGCCCAGGGATTCTCAACCTTGGCAACTTTAAGACTTGCTTTGCTGGCTGAGGAATTCTGGGAGTTGAAGTCCACAAGTCTTAAAGTTGCCAAGGTTGAGAACCCCTGGTGTAGCCCATGACAGCAATTGGAGAAGATACCCTCCTCAAGCTGCCTTTCTCCTCCCCTTGACTAACCTATTGCCACAAAAGCCTCATTCACATTCATTGCTGTCTTCGCTGATGTTTCCATAAACAGCAAGCTGTTGTCATCTGCATAGATCTGGGCTTCCTGTAAGCAATCATGTCAGCAATGTCAGAATTTTCAAAGCGATGCATTTAACCTTTGTAAGCTTGGTACACTTCTAGTTAGACCATATCAATGCCATTAAAAAAATATGATGAAAAACTCTAGCCATACTCTAGGCACTACAAGACAGATAAAATATAGAACTATTGACCACGCATGTTAATGTGTTATGATATAATATGCTTGATTATTCCTGGAATTAGGTTGACTGAGATAATTACTGAACACGAGACAAACAAATGGTTCCATTTCATTTTTCAACAGTCTTTACAACAAATACAAGCCAAGATGGGCCAATGTTGTTCTTTGCTTGATCTACAGTTCTTTGCTATTTTTCAATAGTGTGTCTTATTTTATTGGTTGGAATTAAGGAAATCAGGTTTAAACCCACTTCAGCTGAAAACCTGGAAGAAGGGTGCCATTGTAAGCTTATAATCTTTCCAAATTGAAGGGAGGAGAAGAAAATGATCAGTTATACTCAAGTGATTCCAGGGACAACAAAGGGGGTTCAAGCTAAAAGATGTTCATGCCTAATTTAATAAATTTATGATTACATACACCAACTGAGGAATAAAATATATAAAATAAGTAAAGGATATATTGCTAAATCTAGCAGCTTTACACATGTTAGCTGCAGTAGTCCAAAGTACGTTACTATTACCCTCGGACTGTAAATATGTAAATATGACAACAAATAAACTGTTTAAAAAAGACCATTTCTTTCAGATTAGTGGATTAACACTTTTCATAATGTTATCTTTTTTGGTATTTTGAAATGCTTTGTTGATTGCTGAAAACACATTTAAGAATCATGGCTAAAAACAGCACATCAAATTTTATCAATAAACCTGTTCAGGAAAGAGTAGCAAATTCATAGCAAAAATGAAATATAACTAAGGGCTTTCCTGATTCATAGCTTAGATCATTTTCTAATTAAAACATTTTGTTGAGGAATTATCCTGATAAGGCACCTCTTATAGTCCTTATGCAAAGAGTGAAATTTGAAAAGGATACAATTGGTCTGGACAGAAGCAGAACCATCTTATGATTCTTAAGGTATTTATTATTCATGTAGAAAAAGCATCAAAAACACTACAGAAGGAAAAACTACTATTTCCCAATAGAAAAAAACCTCACTTACCTGGAAGTCAACAGCTCGTTTGCTGGTCAGGTCAGCCTTGTTCCCTGCCAGGGCAATGACAATGCTAGCACTAGCTTGCCTTTGCAGTTCCTTCACCCAATTCTTGGCACGCACAAAGGTGTCCTATGAAGAGCAAGCACAGCTCCATAATTCTCACCTCCTGGAATTCTAACATATATATGCCTCCTGCTCCGAGGTAGGTGATACCTCATACAATGTATTTTCCAGTGGTGGGGCTCCTCCTTACTTGGACTTGGGGACATCTTTAAGCAGTATACCAGGTATGAGAAAGTAAAGTAGGCCTCACAGAATGGATTTCCTCCCCCCATTTATCCAGGAGCAAAACTTACTGAAGTACAATGGTAAGAGAAACTAGGAACTGCAGGTCAGCATCTGAAGGGCTGCAGATTTCCTATACCAGTAGTGAACCATGATTCTTAGTTCATGTATATTAATATAAACACTGAATTCTGGTTTACCCTTCTAGTCACAAGAGAGGAGACAGGGTATGTGTACAGAAGTAATTCAAGATTTAGTACATGTGGATGATTTCAATGCTTGGGATTTTGTTTATGAAAAATATCAAATTACTAGATTTTAACTTCAAATATGTAGCAAAGCTTAGAAGTTCTGAGACTTATATCCACAGGAGAGAAGGAAGTTGAGAATATCAAAAATCCAACAGCTCAAACTGACCTAGGTATATTTTCCAATATGGAATGCTTAAAACTTTTAAAATTAAAAATGGCCAAACTCATGTGAAAATACTGATATCTTTTCAGATATGGCAGTTTTGTGAAATTTGGACTATTTTCATTTTTAACAGAAATTCTGTATGTCAACAGATGACCAGTCAATAGATTTATAGACATTAAGACATCTGTGGCTATTTTATTTAAAGTACCTAGTTACAGCAGTTTTAACTGAGGCTTAGTTCTTACTGAGGTCATTAAGTGATGTCAATGCTACATCACTTCATGCTGCAGTTTAGAGCTCTAGCCTGCCTTCTCCTTCACTGTATCTTTAAATATTGTACAGAGAGAATCTGTACAATAAGCTGTCTGAAATTGTACTGCTCTGAAATGTAACACTGTGCAAACTAGGCCCAATATTACAATGAAATGGCAAGAAATTCAAACTATTCTGCATCAGCGGTTCCCTCCTAAAATGCCATTCATTCAGTGGATACATTCATATATGCCAGAGATATCATATCCTCAAGGAGAATAAAGCCAGAAAAGAAACACTATTGACCATGTGGGATAATTTTGGACCCAATCTATAAAAGCCTTACCATATTAGTGATGTCATAAACAACTATGGCAGCTTGTGCCCCTCGATAATACATGGGGGCCAGGCTGTGGTAGCGCTCCTGTCCAGCTGTATCCCAGATTTCAAACTTGACTGTGGTATCATCTAAGCAAATGGTCTGGGTGAGGAAAGCAGCTGGAATACAGAAGGATTAAAGCATAGTCAGAACAGAAATTCAGGGGTGGCTATATTTTACATAGAAGCAAGAGCTTTTTTCACCTGTAAAGCATCCAATTCTCCACTAGAGTTTGTATTGACCCAATAATTATCCACCCGCTGCATTACTTGAAAGTTTCTTCCCAGTGACATAGATGGAAGACATTTTCTCTCACTGACATAGTTGAAACATAACTGTGCTAATGGAGAACAGTGGGTACACCTTTTGAATTTTCAATATTTCTGCCTAAATATGACCTAAAATATATTTGACTCTCCACAGAAATCCTAAAACTAAAGAAAACCCAGTTAAACAAATGACTCAAAAACCATCATGCAGTATTTGCTTATTGAGAAAAATGATCCAAAGAACACTGATCCCAGTGTAAAGTTAAAATAAATTAACCTACAACAAACTGAAATAACAAATTGTGATTAGAGAGAAGTGGCCTAATTGTAAAATATTTTGGGATTTCACTGTGAAGATTATAATGTTAGCTGAGTGGGAGAGCAGCTTAGTGTGGGGGACCTTTTCCTGCAGACAGAGATTTGGATTGAGTATCAATTCATACGTGAGTTTTGATTATGTAGCTGGCTTACACCAACGATGTAAAAGACCACATGAAGTCCATCATATATACTTTCCAAATAAAACTGACAAATTAAACATATCAACTTGACAATGGAAGGTGTGTTCTGGTGGCTACCTCCAAAGCTTTTAATTCTTTTTCTAAGACCAAACAGATCCATAATATAAGTATTTATCTGAAAAGTTGCAACATTTGGCAGTCCAGAATTACCAAACCAATGTGAAGTGATTAACTAAATACTGTTTGAGGTGCTTGCTAAGTGCTTTATTACTCCCATTTTTTTTCTCATTTATCTCTCTCATTCAAATCATGAGGTGGGGAAGAAAGCAGACTAACTTAGCATGTTAGTGTGTCTGAAGCTAAATTAATCACATTTTTCTTGCAGCATCAGGCAAGTGGGATTTACAAACGTAATGTTTGAGACACAAATTTTAGATCAATTCCATCATCTCAGTATGTACAGAATGCAGATTCCTAGCCGTATGAAAATAGGTTCTTAGGCAACCATTACTCTCTTAAGATTCTTCACTTCTACGTAGTCAAACAGACCTTACTGAAAGGCTGGATAAACTTGCTCTGTTAAACTTGTGTACAGAATTGTTAAGGTATACAATGTGCCTGGCACTTGTCACAGGAACATTTTAAAAAAGAACAGAAATGATGTAGCTATTGGCCTCAAGCCAGATATGATACTTTAACAAAGCAAGGTTTCTGCATGGCCATGTATTTGTAATGTCTTTTTTATTTTTATTCTTCCCATTTGAATTGGAACCACAGCTAAAAAAAATCTCAGAGACTTAGGAAATCACGCCTAACATGTTATTAACTTATATTTATTTTTATTTTATTACATTGTACTGGTATTTGTTGTAAACCATCCAGAATTTCTTCAATTACGCCAGGGGTAAATTCAATAAATAAATAATCCTAATCTCAGCATTTCCTGGAGATAACTCTATCATCCTCCAATTTGCTCCATTCAGAAAATATATTAATAAGGAAACTCTTCTGAAAAATCATTTGGACCCAGGCTTTCAATCTTACCAACATTTCATACTAAGTATCATAAGAAAATTTATCTAACATCTGTCCACTATTGTGTAGTCACAATGGATTGCTGTAGGCATAATCCACTGAATAATAATTTACCAACTAGATTTGTCTCCCAACTTCCAGAATTCCCAGCAATCACAACTTTCTGTTAGAGAATTCTGGGAGTTGTAGTCCAATGCTAGATGATTTAAAGACAGATGGAAGATATCAGCAGGAATTAACAATGGTGTCCATCCCCAAGAATTATCTATACAGGTTAGTTTAGAAAGAATTCCTTAATGACAAATACTTGTTAACTATCATACTACACTAATTTTTGAATTTTCTGAACTGCTTTATGCATGATTGTGACTCTTACCTCCAATTGTGCTCTCCTGATACTCGTGAAACTGTCCTTTTACAAAGCGCAAGACAAGGCTTGATTTCCCAACAGCTGACTCTCCCAGGAGCACCAATTTGAACTGACAGATCTTATTGCCTAGAGTTGGCCCATTAGGACGTCGAGCTGCCATGGCCTACAACAATGGCACAAGTTCCAGTAGAAAAAATGGGACTGTCAGCAAACAATGCTGCAATTGAAAGAAAAATATTTCAGCCAGAGGAAGAGACAGGTTTCTTTTTTTACAGCACCTGAAGTATTCAATTCAAACAGCCAGTTTGAATCATCATCTGTTTAAAAATCCTTGAGCAAATAAGTTGGTTATTAAAATGGAAAGAATATTGTAGTTTTTTGCTTCAGAAGAGACTTGCAGCAACAAACAGAAAATGAAAAGGATTTTGCAAGTTAGAGAAGTATAAAAATTAAATGACTGTTAAATAGTTTGCCATTTTAGTACACCTTCAGCATTACACAAATACTAATTTGGGGTTATAGCCAAGTTAAATGAACTACAAATCAAGAAGCTTCGTCATTATTTTTACCATAAGGTCAGGAATTGGCCATAATCAAGCTAATTCCTTAACTCCTTTCAGCTGTTTGAAGCAGCCTCACAGGGCTAATATTGATTAACCATGCAGAATTGAAGTAAGGTTTGAAAAAAATTGTGTTACAAGCTTTGACCAGTATGACACTATGATATTGAACTGGTTTTTAGATTAAAAGTTTAACATTTTACAGTTTATAGCAAGGGGCCTTCAAACTTGGCCCTTTTATGACTTGTGGATTTCAACTCCCAGAATTCCTCAGCCAGCATGCCCAAGTCATAAAAGGGGCAAGTTTGAAGACCCCTGGTTTATAGCATTTTTCAAGATAATAGTTCAGAATTGAAATGGTAATGGTCAGTGCAATTAGCACAAATAAAGAAACCCGAGTATCAGGAAAATGGCTTAATTACTATGTTTGAAAGAATCAAGTTTTCAGCAAGAAGCATTAAGCTTTAAGATACAGTATAATTAAATAACTCTAATAAGTTGATTATGTATGAAAAGAACTGCATAAACACTTAATGAATAAATGTTACCTGAGGAAAATATGTAACACAGGGTTCTTGAAATAACCAACTTTAATGTGTTTAAACAATAGGTTGCAGACTTGACATAATGGAACAGGTATATAACTAATAAAATGAAGTTATTTTATTTTGCTGATATATACTAAGGTCATTTCTTGCAGGAGCTTTTCCAACCTTATATCCCTAGCTATTGAATTACAGTCCTCATCATCCATAACCATTTTGGCCAAACTACATTTTGAGGAGTTCTGGTTGAGGAAAGCCATTTTGTAAGAACTCTATTAGATACTATCAGAAACAAGACTATGATTTTTCACACTATCCCAAGCTTTCTTATGAACTTCTGGCATAACTCAAATATTTTATAAAGCAACTATTACTAGCCAATTGCCAGGAATCAATAATCACTAGAAGGCACCTATACATACATACATACACACACACACACACACACATTCATATATACATATACATACATACATACATACATACATACATACATATATATGTTAAAGATAGAAAGCATATACCAACCTCCTTAAGATGGAGTACACACACAGTTCAAGATCAGAATGAAACACTGTAAGAGCCAGAGAATGCTATACAAAATTGGCACCTTTATTATGTGGCATAAAACCTATCAAAATGATTGCATGCATGAATGCTGTATCTAAATTACAGATGCTAACATTAAATATAAATAAGTCCTGTTAAAAGGAAAAAGGAAGCACTCCCAGTAAGGAATGTCACACCCACCATAATCAGCACCATCCCTTGTTATCACCATAGCTTTGTTTAAATATCAGCGATTATATTGTTTAGTTCTCAGGTCAAGGACTCGTTCCAGTTCGTAATATTCTTCAAAGCAAAGCACCAGGACCTTGTCAACAAGTCCTAAACTCAGCGCAGCCTTTCGTAACCAAAGCAGACGCCACTCTAATTCCAACAGTGTGATTTAATCGCCTCCAGGAAGCCAAGAATTTCTCACGTCCTCGTCTACCAGCAACAGGTAGTGAAGGATATACTGCCTCAGATCATGGAAGTTTAATTTGGCTTGCCAGGCTAAGAAACCCCATTTCCAAGCTACTCTTATGTGTGACGGAGGGGAAATTAAAGGGCTTCCTCAAGAATTTAAAACTGAAAGGAAAGCGTTAGGGATTGATTTCCGTCTTTCCCGAGCAAAACCGTACGCTTACCCGCTCCCGCCTGCGGGACCGCCGCGGAAAACAGCCTACCGCCTTCCAGAATCCCGTTTTGCCCAATTCCAAATCTCAAACGCCGCCACTTCCGCCCTCGGCTTCTTTTCAGCTTCTTCCGCTTCCTCAGAAGTTGCCTATTTCTACTTCCTCTCCATGACAGGCCGTCTCATTGGCAAATCAACAAAAAAGCATTCGAAGCTCTGCCTTTTCACTCCGAGCAGGTGATGTCATTTGAGAGGGAGAGAAAAATGATCGCAAAGCGGGCGCGGCCATGAGTAAGGGGCATTAAACAGCGGGGCATTATCGCCGATTTGAAACTTATGCCTGTGGCGGAAGCGCAGGAAACCTCCAGAAACGGCGTTAAAAAACTCCTATTACATTCGACTTTAATGGCTGGAGATCATAGAAGTCGTACTATATCCAAATATAATGCTACAGAATAGAGCCCCTGGTTGGAGAGAGTGGCCAATGTGGAAACTATTATTCCCTTATCTTCTTGTATTGCATATCGGGGGAAGGTGGAAGAGAATTTAAAGCAAAAATTAATAACAGTAAATATTTTGTGTCTGACATTTCCTAATTAAGATATGTTGATGTTTGTTATTATCTTAAACTTGTTTAAGGAGAGTACATCTCCTATCCTGGCCACTTTTTACAGAGGCACGATTGAGAACATTTTAACAAACTGCATCACTATTTGGTTTGGTGGTAGCAGTGCCTCATATAGAAGGTCCATATAGAGACTGATAAGGACAGCTGAGAAGATCATAGGAAGCTTTCCTGGTATTCAGGATGCTGCTTATAAGTGCTATGTGCTTAAAGCTCAAAGCATTATTAGAGACCCCATACACCTATTTTACAGTCTGTTTCTGTTGCTCCCCTCTAGGAGGAGGATTCGAAGTATTTCTAGCAGGACTACCCGCTTTTGTAATACCTTAGTTCCCTATGCCATCTGTCTGGTACACAAGCAAGATTCATTTTTCTTGCCATGCACATATGTACATAATGCGAACTAGACTATGTTGTTTCTCTGTGACATATATGTGGATATATGCATAACTCTGTATTTATTTTTGTCATATTTATGTAGTGTATATTGAAGGTGGTGGCCCTTTGAGAGCTGTATGCAACGAAATTTCATTTTATGTTATGCTGATTAGTATAAATTCAAAGTGACAATAAAGTTATTATTCTATTCTATTCTATTTATTTAAATTGCAATCTCTGCCTACCTAGCATCACTCTATGTGTGTGTGTGTGTGTGTGTGTGTGTGTGTGTGTGAGAGAGAGAGAGATAAACAATTTCCTCCCTGAATTCAGGGAGGGAAGTTCTACACTTAGAAGACCTCATATGCCACTCTTCTTATTTAGAGATATTGTTGCCCATCACAGTTACATATAGAGATTTTATATATGTTTGTATGCGTGTGCACACTGCACACATGTAAAGATACAGTTATGTGAAAAACCTGGGTTCTATGGTTTTACATATCAGGACATAGTAAAAGCAGTTTTTAAAAATAGGTATGGATATCATATGACATATTGCATATTGCACTCATTGGCACAGCAATCGTGGACCATCATGAGGAACAGTAGCAAACTCAGGACATAGCCCTGTGGAGAACCTGTACTCAAGGAGATGGAATTGGAAACTTTCTTTCCAGCTTGCACAATCTGGGGCCTATCAAAAAGGAAATCAAGTATCAGATGGACATCACATGACATCTTGCAGCATGACATTATTTATTTTCCAAAAGGAAGCCAAAATGAAGAAGCCATGTGTGAAAAACTAAGTACATCCTTACTGCTTTCATAGGTATGAAGAGGCTAAGTAGCAGCCAGATGCTGTTAATCAAGTGCCCTTGATCAATTGACTATCAGCAAGTGTCACTATAAAAGCCAAAGTTTTAGGAGTTTACTTGTCCCTAGCATTGAGGTGCCTATTAATACAACGCTGAAGGGTAAAGATGTCAGCCATGATCTTAAGCAATTGTTGCTGTCCATCAGTCTGGGAAAGGTTATAAGACGCTTTCCAAACAATTTAAAGTCCATTATTGTACAATGAAGAAGATTATTGACAAGTTTAAAACATTCAAGACAGTTGCCAATCTTTCCAGGACTGGACATCCCAGCAAATTTTACCCCAAGGTCATACAGTGCAACACTCAAATAAATTGCAAAAGAGCTACATATCAGACCCTATAGGTCTCAGTTGGCATGTTAAATGTTGAAGTTTATGACAGTACAATTAAAAAAAGACTGTACAAGTATAGCTTGTTAGGAAGGGTTGCCAGGAGAAAACCTTTCTAAAAAGAACATGGTAGCACAGTTTAAGTTTGTAAAGTTGCATGCAAATGAATCACAAGACTTCTGAAACACTGTCCTTTGGACAGATGAGACCAAAATGGAAATGTTTGGCCGTAATGCACAGTGCCACATTTGGCAAAAACCAGACATAGCATATCAGCATAAACATACCAATTTCATACAAATTGTCAAACACAGTGGAGAAAGGATGATGATTTGGGCTTTTTTTTTTTTTTTTTTGCACCTACAGGATCTGAGCATCTTGAGTCGATGGTGAACTCCTCTGTATATGAAACTATTCTGGAGTAAAGCTTGGCCAACACTGAGTCATGCAACAGGACAATTATTCCAAACACACCAGCAAATCGACAACGAAGTAGCTGAAAAAGAAATGAAGGTGTTTCAATGGCTCATTCAAACTCCAGACCTCAGCCAGATTGAAACGCTATGGCAGGACTTCAAGAGAGTCATGCATAAACTATGTACAGGTATAGTATAGGAGGTACCTTGCTCAATAGTAGTAACTGTGAGAGGGACCTCGGAGTCCTAGTGGACAATCACCTAAATATGAGCCAGCAGTGTGCTGCAGCTGCCAAAAAAGCTAACACAGTGCTAGGCTGCATTAACAGAGGGATAGAATCAAGATCACGTGAAGTATTAATACCACTTTATAATGTCTTGGTAAGGTCACACTTGGAATACTGCATCCAGTTTTGGTCACCATGATGTAAAAAAGATGTTGAGACTCTAGAAAGAGTACAGAGAAGACCAACAAAGATGATTAGGGACTGGAGGCTAAAACATATAAGGAACAGTTGCTGGAATTGGGTATGTCTAAGGAAGAGAAGGACGAGGGGGGACATGATAGCAGTGTTCCAATATCTCAGGGGCTGCCACAAAGAAGAGGGAGTCAAGCTATTCTCCAAAGTGCCTGAAGGCAGGACAAGAAACAATGGGTGGAAACTAACCAAAGAGAGAAGCAACCTAGAACTAAGGAGAAACTTCCTGACAGTTAGAACAATTAACCAGGGGAACAACCTGCCTCCAGAAGCGGTGAATGCTCCAACACTGGAAGTTTTTAAGAAGATACTGGACAGCCATTTGTCTGAAGTGGTATAGGTTACCTGCCTGAGCAGGGAGTTGGACTAGATGACCTCCAAGATCCCTTTCAACTTTATTATTATTATGGATCATCACACAGTCAGCCAGATGTTCAGACTGGATTTGGCATTTTGTCTACCTATCGAGTCCTTACCCAGGACCTGGGATAGGCAGATGTGGATGTTTGATGGTATTATAGATATCGTTGTTGTTGTTGTTGTTATTATTATTATTATTATTATTATTACTATCTCCACAAATTATCTCCACATAATGAAGCAATGTTATAAACAAAAGTAGGCTAAAATTCTCCCACAACAATATGACAGACTGATAAAATCATACATATACTTCAAGTTATTGCTGCTAAAGATGGTTCTACAAGCTATTGAATCATGAGGTATACTTAGATTTTCATACATGACTTTTCCATTTTGGCTTTCTTTTTCTAAAATAAATAATGAAAGGAGACTGGATTTAATCCATTTTATTTCTATATAGTTCATGAATGTTTTTCAGATATATATTTGATTTTGTAATCAAATCTAAAAATAAAGTTTATTTATATAAAAAATGTATAAATATTTTTAGTATGAATTCTCCCATCTTTTAGAATAATATAAAATTGGGCTGGTGACTTATTATTTAAAGTAATGAAAGTAATTTAGACTATAGACCATATTTGGTTTATACCAGTGGTTATTTGAACAGTGGTCTATTCAATTAATTCAGTGTTTTTGCTTTGCATAACACATGGCATCACATAAATTTTTTAATCTAATGTGTTAGACTAAAATATGGTTGAGTCCTCCTGGTTTAGTGTAAGAAGACATGCTAGCTAGCCTGTGAAGAAAATACATTGTATATATTCCCTATCTTATGAGCTTGGCTGAAGTTTGGAAACTGTATGTAGGAACTAGGATCAGAGGCCTTGCTATGCTAAAAAAAACAGTATTAACCAGAATTTGCTGATATGATAACTTCTCCAGAACAACCACTAGGAACTAGTAGACATAAAAATAATTTGTAAATAAGGGCAGGGAGCAATAGAATTTGAGGAATGGGAGATGTACTTAGAAGTGGGGATAATGTATTCATTGGCGCTTTGGTTAGGTTGCGACAGCCTGAGTACTAAGCCAATGAGGAAAAGGTGGGAGGTAAATTTGTGACGGCAATAGAGAATATAAAGAAAGAATATTAATGATTTAAGGTGTGTCCACTGTACTTGCATGTACATGATATACCCTCTGCAAAGTAGTACAAATAAATTGCCATTGTTTTCTCTTGGGAGCTTTGGCTGGTGATTGTTTATTCAAAACTAGAAAATGAATCCCACAACTTGGGGGCTCTCCCAGGATTCTCCAGACAGTGGCAGGAGTCATTGAGCAGACACTGACCAGGAAGATATGTCCCATTGAGTTCAATGGTCCTATGTCATGAACGGTTGGTGTGCCTGTGGAATCCGGTATGGATGTTAAGAGAAAACAACTCCAAGGGAAAGTCCTGGGGATTATAACAATGGGCACTGAAGCGCTGCAACTGGGCAACTCTATGCATAGTCCAAGGTAAGAAAA